TGCAATTGTTCGTGTATTGTTGCTCTGAATAATGAAAAACATTTTAATATTATGAAATTATAAACGTCTTCCGTGAGCTTTTGATATGTTACGTAAAATACTTAGAGACGACAGTATTAAAATATTTTGGTAAATTAGAAATATATTCAAATATAAGAGAAATATCTAAAATAAAATATTGGATAAGCAAATGATTTTTGAATACAAATTTTAATAAGGTTGCATCAAATTTTCTATGATGATAAAATTAAAGCAATTATATACTATGCCACATAAATCTGTCATAAATGAAAATATATAGAAATAAAATTTCACATACAATGTTGTCTCCATAGTTTTTTTGTTCCACCTACGATTTATTGCAATCTGAAACTGTCTTCACTCAAACATTTGTTTCATTCATCCAACACATCCGCTCAATGCAGCGTCCCTGCAATTTAGGAATCACGACACCTTTCCATTATATAAAGAATTGTACGAGAATATTTATAATTTAAGAATAAAACTATTGTCTCATCGCTAATAAAAGAAAATAATCCCTATTTTTATTTATATGCAAAATAAAACTACAATAAACTAGGATAGTTAAAGAAAATTTTCAATTGTGTAATACGTATTATGTTTTAATTCAAAAAAAGACTATAAAGGCTTACCACATGGCTTCCAACATCCATATGTCCATACACTATTTCAACAGAACAATATATATTGACAATTTCAGTGTCACACCTTTAGATTAAGTATGGGACATCCGGTCAAAATTTGCACAATTGTCTGAGGAAGTGGGTTTGAATGGAAAGAATGAATTATTGGTAGAATGCAATAAATTAGTTGACATTATTCGTCAAGTACCAATTTTCATTGTCTGGTGGTCAGTTGTATGTAAAGAGTTTCAAGAAATATAACAATTAAAATGATGTCCTATTTATAAATTTCAATGGAACTTTCTAGAAACGGATTGGCAGCGAGTTGATTGCTATAGCAAAGATGAATTATTTGGTACGAGTGCTTTTTATTTTAACAAAGAATAAATAGTTCATTCATAACTAAACTGTGTAACGTTACTGTGGAAAGAAGAATATATTATAGTAATCTGATTGTTCATTTAAATTCTACAACCGCTGCCGAATTAAAGGCACAAAGAGAAATAGGACGAGAGATTCTGATCCCAGCGAGAATGCTGGCTTAGTTTCATTCACAAATATTTACAACAGTGGAATTAGCAATAATCCGTAGAAGAGCGTCTTATTACTTAAACATTAGAGTACATTTTACCAACAAAAAATCCAGTGCATCGTTTGAACAGCCGCTCTCAAAAGCTTATTGATGGTATTTTGTAAATAAATCTGTAGTTAATTCATCTTAAGTTAGTTCATTCATAAATGTGGCTCTTAGAATATTTTGTCCGTAACAATGAAGTTATAGATTTTTAATTGTTCGTATTAGTTCCGGACTGAACTAACTAAATAATAATAGAATGCTTGCATTACAGCAATGTTTGTACTGTCGATAAGCAAATTATTTCACTCTAATAAGAAATGTTGGAGGTCTCATCTTTAGTAATACTGACATCAGCATCATGTCTGTAATAAGATTGATATGTCATTAGATGCAAATCTGTTCTATATATGTATTGTATTGTATAAATGTAAAGACTTCCTAAAGTTCCTGAATGAATACAGTATATCTTTTCGTATACTATTTTATTCTGACAATGATCCAAAAGGCTGCTTGTTCCTGTGAAGCTACCAGACAGTGAGGCTCCAGAGCTCTTTGTGATTAACCATTTCATTAACATCCTTCGAATTTCCTTTGTTAAGATGCTTTTCTTCTCATCCGTTGAGGGATAAACAGTGTATTGTTGCCAGAAAACGTCTTAAGTGGGATTAGGATCCCTGTTCTCATCTCGCTTGATGCTACCGACTTAAGAAATTACTTGAAATTTGACTTCATCCAGTTATATTTATTTTCACGTAACATTACTCACTTATGTTTCTTATAAAAATGATATTTAAATTAAAAAAAATATATAATTAATAGTCATTTATATTGCATTTGTAATATTTTTCAATGAAGCTCAATTCTTTTCACTTCTAAACATATATTGTAGCTAACATTCTATGGGATATAGTCAAATATTTATAACAGCACAATAAATATAATATAATATTGAAGCGACCAGGATATATTTTAATTTCTACGTCAAGCGTAAAATCCTTTGCGGTCGCGCGATAAAATTAATTGATTAAACCCCCAACAATGGGCGAACAGATCACATTGTAACCAACAACGGATGGATTAAGTGAGTCTGCTGCAGCCAATTATAGCGTGAGACTCCGTTCAACATTTTATATATAGTTTGGAAAAAGAAAGTTTAAAACAAATACTTGTATTTTGATTTAGTGGAGTAACTAAATTATCATAAAAAAATTCATAACAATCAAAGACTCAGTATCGTTTCATGGGAAGAAATAACAAAATTATAGGTATATATGTACATGATTGATATTGTCAGTGCAGTTTGATATTGAAACAAATTCGTTAGGTGGTTCAGTGTTAATATGGAAGAAAATATGAGTGGTTTAGACTTTGATCTCAATTTCAAGATAGAAGAACAAATTAAGAAATAGTTATTAAGTTATATTGTTTTAACTCAGCCTTTCCGTATCCTACCAAGAGAACAGCATGGTCAATGTCTTTACTTTATGACAGTCCTTAATATTGCCACCAGTATAGGATTGGAGTATTTGTGCAGCTAAGCCTTCAATTGGAAACAAAATACTTTAAAATTCTTAATTTTAATATAACAAGTAATGGAAAAAAAATTACCCTTAGTACCTATACTCATTGGTCTGTTATTTTAAACATGTGACTTAATTTCATCTTCAGTAAAATTTTCAAGCGTTGTAAACCTTTTAGTTTAATAGAAACATTTTGCTGTTTTAACGACACGTACCTACCTGAATTCAGTAACTTTGATATGAATACAGTTATGAAAGTATCGCACCCTATTTTGCAAAGTGACTGGAAAATTGTTAAGGTAAATTAGTATATACATATGATGATGTGATAAAAAATTTGTCGTCCGCTATGTCTTGGGGTAAGGGATCTAGAAGCACATATTGTGAAAGATATTTCTTGTAATCAAAGTAATAAGTACATAAGTACAAATGTATGCATTGAAAATTAATTTATTATGAAGTAGTAATTTAGTATTTTTTGTTTAAAATTTGAGGCAAGTTGACAAAGGATATATGTAATATATAATGAGATATAAAGAAACTTTTACTCGATTTTTTTCTATAAACATGGATGTAGTTCATAAACTAAAATTCAATAGTTTTAACATACACTAACAAATAAAATTGAAGTGTCCGTTTGTAATTTCAAACTAACAGTTTTTCAATAAACGTATTATAATTATGTAAGTATGTCTGATCGTCTCTTTGTTCTAGCTAATCAACGGAAAGGCTGAACCGATTTTGGCAGGCTTTTAGTCGCAGGTAGTTCATATAATAAGAAGTAACATAGGCTACTATTTTATCGGTGACAAAAGAAACGAATTTCTCAATTCATCAATGTGTTTGTTACGTTGTAACTTATGTAGCTTTAGATCGATTACCGAAAATTTCTTTAATCAAAAGGGCACTATTACATAATTAATTTTAAAGTGGAACCTATTCATGCTTACATTTATAAATACACTGGTTGGGATGACAAATTAACTCTTTTATGGGAGCTAATAAATTATATCTAGTATTTAAAAAAAACTTTAATATGTAACCTAAGGTTCATTATAAGAATATTCTATGAAATTTGTTAAAATACTTCGTTAAACTTGTCTTAGTCATCAAAATACGTCATCTTAGACTTATCAATAAAAAGAATACGAGTATGAGTAAATTCCATTAACCTAATAATGCGAGTGATGAAAAACTATTAGGTAATTTAAAAAAAAAAACTATAAGTGATGAAAAACTTATTACAAGATTGGCCAATCTACTGACAGACACAAGGATAAAGTTCTAGTTCTCTTCAAACACAAGGACAAGACATAAAAACAATAAATCAATATTAAATCATATGATTCGATCCATCAATTATTGTAAATAAATTAGCCAATACATTGTTAAAACTAAGATTTTTGCTACCATTACCAAGAATACTATAATTTTACTAATATAATTAATAAGAATTTTGTCACGATAAATTTGTTTATTATTTCTTGCAAATATATTATCAAACAGAACATATTCATTGTAATTAAATCATAGTCATCTTGATAGTTTTGATACTTTTTACTTGTTTGTTTCTGAAGGCACTATTCTAGGATTAATACTGTTATTAAAATGATCTCTATACAATATATTAACAACAATTTGACGTAATCTAATAGCATAGCATATGCAGATAGTGCACTTTTATCTTTGCACCTACATTAGCATCCATAACGCATGTACAATGTATAAAAAAATGTATATATGAACAGACTCAAGAAGCTGGACTGAATAGGTTTAACAGGTATATAATTTATTAGTACAACAGTATTAAATGATTTTGTTATAATTGACATTTAATTATAAGTGTTTAGGTATACAGTACAATTTATGCTGACTTCTTGAGAATTGTTATACATTATTTTATATATAAGAAAGTTGAAATCTTCTTATTTACTGCCTTTAAGGACGAATAGACTTCGCCCAGTCAGCTATACATTTCTAATTTTGAAAGTAACGTAGATGAAGTCGCGGGCAAAAACTTGTATCTGTATAGCTCACAGTAGAACCAACTTAAAAGCATTAGTTACCACTGCTTCAAGTAATTACCGAGGATGAGCAAGAAAGGCATAAACTAAGGTGGACGAATCTCAACCCTCTAAAAATAATATAAAAGAAATAAGAATTACAACTAATTTTTTATACTAATTTATTTAATTGATATTGGCAAAGTTAGATGATACTATTGATTAATACATAGTAGGATTTTCACATCTATTTGTTTTATATAACAGCTGTAGTAATGCCATCTTCAGTTATACATAAACAATTCACTCCTCTCTGTATTCTAAAATAACCTTTGTCTCCCCAATTTTCAGACCAAGAATTCTTAATGGTCCAGTATTCGATACCATTCTCTAAAACAAAAAATATTATAACTTAACAACTTTCTTAATAAACAAAGAGATATTTTCTAATTTTTTTATATTTATTACTTTATTTTATATTGCAAAAGATTTGTCTAATATATATCTGATAACTTACCTTTTCCGTATCCTACCAGGAGGACATCGTGGTCAATATTATTACTAATAAGACAGTTATCAACAATAATACCATTTACATATGAATGAAGTGCTAATGCGGCGATACCTGAAAATTATGTATATTTTGTAAGCATTGTCAAATAAAAAACAATTATAATTACATACTAAAACTACTCTATATATTACTTATACTCAACGGTCCGATATTATAAAGATGTTCCTTAATTTGATCTTCCGACAGTTTTGTAATGTGTTTATAGTCCTTTAATCTGATTGCAACCTTACTGCTGTCATAATCGCATTTTCCTTGTTTAGCAACATAAGGATAAGACTTCAAAGACATTGCACCATGATCGAGGAAATATCTGGAAAGTGGTTATGTTCAATCCTAATGGTAATAATATCAAACTAAAAAAATATTTAAATTAAATTACCTCATTGAAATCCACGCCAATCCTCCTATACATCCGTAATCCTGGGTATCACAATCTACTAGTTGTTGCTCAGACACGTTTACAACTTTTCCAGTTTTTATGGCATTTATGCTTTCCACATTACCTTGAATATAGAAAAAATATTATTGAATCAAATTGAAACTCTGGGATAGAAATTAAATTAGGACTTTCGCTAAGTTTATAAACAAATATCTTGAACAAATATTAATTAATTTACAATACCTACCAGACGCACTAAATGCCCAACAAGAAGAACATCCTCCTTGATCCTTTACGCTGCTAACAACTCCTTTCTTTCGCCAGTCAAATTGATCCGGTGCAGTAACATTGAATGATTCTGGCAAATCAGTACTTCTACGATCCTCATTCGATGGAATCTCCTCTCGTTTCAGACCAGTATAGTATTTTAGGAATTCTTCTTTGCTCAGATCCGAAAACTTATTGATACCTATTATATAGTGTAAGAACATAAATGAAAAGTCTTAACAGAAATCGTTTCTTCATTTACAGAAATCAACTCACCGTAAACAGCATTGGAACTCCTCTCGTTCATAGCGTTAATGTCCTTTAAATTGTTCACAAATATTTTAAACCTTTCTTCCTTCTCGTTCTCATCATACTCTTTATTGTAATCTTTTATAAACTGTTCGAAAAGTGTTGGAGCCTCCTCCAGAGAGTACAGTTGCTTTTGTCCTAACTCCCTTGAATATACATTATATTGTAATGTAAGTGATAACAGAATTGTACAAATGACGAACATCATTTTTGTGTACTCCAACTTACATAAACAGGTCACAAGTATTTAAACCTAACACTGCCTCTTAAGAATTATGAATCATTAATTTGAGTTATGTAGCATAATAAGAAATATTGCCAATGTTAGGAATGTGCAGTTTTATACTCACTAAGAAATATGTATGTGCTTGTTTGTTTGTACAACATACATGATGCCTGGAATAGATAGAAGTTGCACTTCGAAAATTCCTGTTCCAATCCTAAAATAAATTAAGGCCTTTCAATAATAGTTATAAACAAAATATTTACTTTCCTATAAAGAAACACTGTCAAGCAAATGCGTCACACTATTTTTAGATTTTTTGATAAGAATATTATATATTTATATTTATTTATAAAAATAAGTATAAACATAAAATAAAACTCTAGAAAAAATGCTTATTCTAACAGACATTTAATTCTAAATTATATTATTATTTTTACGTATGTATGTATGTATGTTTATGTTTATTTTCGTTTTTTACATAACACCTTATCTTTTTGATATGAACATTTTGTTTAACACGTGTAACTTAATATTTGTTAAATATAAGAGAATAAGAAAATATAATCAACCTTTGGATGAAGTTGGTTTTGTCACAAAAATTGATAAGCGCAGGCAGTTCTACAATTTGGCACTCGAAGCTACGACAGCAAATTCAACTGTTCTTCAACTCAACATTTACTTAATTAATGAGAAATGAAATTCCTCCCTAAACATGAATGAAGTTCTTAAATGTAAACAGGTAAACCAATTGATTCAATGTTTCTGCAATATTTTTTTGGAATAGACCGCTTTATAGTATGCAAAAATATATACGCAAATAATCTGATATGTCATGTATATATATATATTAACACTTTTTCATTCAACATTCTCTGTAGTTTACAAAAAATTATGGTAGACCTTATCTTTAATACTTGTACCGAGTATACCGTCTCTAATCATAGTTAGAGTTCATTACTATGATAAACTTTTTGTAACAAATCATGATTCAAGCACAGAATTTGAAGTAAAGGAAAATCGGTATTTGTGACGAGATTTTTGAGAATCGATACTTGTTCAATTCTTAAAAATCTTTGTATCATTTGGTGTGAGGTAATTTTTCTTGATATGTTTATAAAACACCTAACTTATAATATTTAATACACTTTGATTTAAGGATATGAAAAAACGAAATTTTTAACTTGATGTGAAAATATTTTTATAGCTTAAAAAATGATCTTGTTTACTATTTGTTGAGTAATTTGACAAATTTTTAAATCATAACTTACAGCACAGTAGACTGAAGTACTTTAAACAGCGTCATTTTTATATAGGATATTTTTAACCCTCCTATACCCGCGTATTGGTCTGTCAGACCGACAGTTTAAGTTTTGCTTCTTTTTCTAATTAACGATAAATGCTAGCACATTGGGCTCACTGCTGGCTGCCCGAATCGTCGCCGGCGTCTATTAAGTGTGGCGGAAGCGCTTGTACGGGTAGTACGTATGTCCGTACACGAAACCGTTTGGTCCAGGAGACCGACGCGGGTATAGCTGATACAGTTTTAGGTGAGTGCTGTGTTTTATTAGTTATATAATTTTAATGATTTCTTATATTATTATTGGATTATTATTTTATAACATACTTTGATACTACTTTTAGGTTAAATTTCCCTCCCAAAATGGTCGATGAACAAATAAAACTAATTTTAGAGGAGAATAATTCAAATTCTAACTACGATGATGAAAATGATAGTGATTTCGAGGATTGTGTGGAAAGAGAGGCTAAAAAAAGTGATACTGAACTAGAGGAAGATTCCAACAGCAAAATAGGGGATCTAATAACTTTTAGTGACTACTATCTCGGCAAAGATAATCTAACAAAATGATGAGTTTGAAATTCAAGCCTTTCTTGGTCGTTTACTCTTTGCTGGTGTTAGACGAAATAATAAATTGAATGCCAAAGATTTATGACGTCATATATGTCCTCAATAATCCCAGGAAAAAAATTGTTCGCAGTAAATTTTTGGAAGCCCTATCATATGATCTCATGAATCCACATCTGAGGCGACGTAATACAAACACATTTACCAAGACTGATAAGACAAAGATTTGCTAAAATTTGCAAATTAGATTATCCAGAGTCCACAGCTACAACAAAAAATAATAAAATAGGTAATTGCTGTTATTGTAGCTCCAAAATAAAATCTAAGGACCCGATATAACTGCACTACTTGCAAGAAATATTTTTGTATGGAACACGTGATTATGGTGTGCTCTGACTGCTATGGTGGACCATCTGAGGAAAATTAATCTATAGCCTTTTATTGTTTATTTAGTAATTTTAGAGATTTAAGAGTTTTTTTTGTTTAGTTTCAGAATAGGTATTTTTTATTGCATTTTAAATAGTTTATAAGAATAAGCACTGTTTTTCAAAGACTGTAATAAAAAGACTGTTAGTTAGTAATAAACATTATTATTGTCATAAATTTTGTTTATATTGATTGTGTAAAAGTCCTTTTTAATCAAAAAGTATATTTTTGTGTGGTTAAAATGATAACTATGTATTCAGTAAACGAAAGAACTATCGGTCCCAGTGACCGACGCGGGTATAGGTGTTACGGTATTTGACGCGGGTATAGGGAGGTTAATCCTTATAAAACTGGAACTGAATCTTATACGTAGTAAATAAATTAGAGAAAACGAGTAAAGAAAACCAATTTTAAATTTTGATCTATTTAAAAAAAAGATTGTTCTATATAACAGCTGTTGTAATTCCATCACGAGTTATAAATAAGCAGTTCACTCCCCTCTTCATTCTAAAATAACCTTTTTCCCCCCAATCATGACTCCAAGAGTTCTTGACGATCCAGTAATCAACGCCGTTTTCTGAAAACACGTAACAGATTAAATAATTAACAAATATTTGTGTAAGCAAGAAAAAAAATTAACTTCTTTAAGCTCAATGTATTCATTTGAAAAAAATATTATTTTACAATATTTATACACATTATACTTTACCTTTTCCGTATCCTACCAAAAGAACTGCGTGATCTATATCGATGCTGCTATGACACTCTTCAATAAGAATCCCACTTGTATACGATGCAAGTGATGATGATGTTATATCTGGAGTTTGAAATATATTTTATAATTAAACAAACCAAATTTTCATCTTATGTTAATATTTAGTTTGTATTATATCTAATACCTATGCTCAACGGTCCGATATTATAAAGATGTTGCTTAATTTGATCTTCCGACAGTTTTGTAATGTGTTTATAGTCCTTTAACCTGATTAAAACTTCACTGCTATCATAACGGCAATTCTCGCTTGTAGCAACGTAAGGATAAGACTTTAAAGACATTGCACCGCTTTCACGGAAGTACCTGAAAAGCGATTTTGTTCAATAATTGTAGAACTATCATCAAAATCATTAATAAACCATTATTTGTATAAGAGTACCTCATGGCATTCCAAGGGTATCCTCCATCACATCCTCCATCCTGTTTATCACAATCCACTAGTTGTTGTTCAGACACGTCGATGAGCTTACCAGTCTTTATAGCATTTATACTTTCAACATTACCTTGAATATGAGACAAAAATATTTCTCAAAGTAAATTAATATTTCATTTAACTACTGCCAAATACTTTTAAAAATGCTCAAAAACCATGAATATAAAATACTTACCAGACGCACTAAATGCCCAGCAGGAACCACAATTTCCTTGATTCTTTACGCTGGTTACGACTCCTTTCTTTCGCCAGTCAAATTGATCCGGTGCAGTAACATTAAATGATTCTGGCAAATCGGTACTTTTATCATTCGATGGAATCTCCTCTCGTTTCAGACCAGTATAGTATTTTATGAATTCTTCTTTGCTAAGATCCGAAAACTTATTGATACCTATTATATAGCATAAGAACATAAATAACAATTCTTAACAGGAATCATTTCTTCATATACAGAAATCAACTCACCGTAAACAGCATTGGAACTCCTCTCGTTCATAGCGTTAATGTCCTTTAAATTGTTCACAAATATTTTAAACCTTTCTTCCTTCTCGTTCTCATCATACTCTTTATTGTAATCTTTTATAAACTGTTCGAAAAGTGTTGGAGCCTCCTCCAGAGAGTACAGTTGCTTTTGACCTAACTCCCTTGAATAGACATTATATTGTAATGTAACCAATAACAAAATTGAACAAATGATGTACATTTTCATTTTGAGTTGCCATACTTCTAATGACCAGTGTGCCGGTATTTATATTTTATGTGTACAGCACTTCAATAATCAATAATTTTTCTTCGGTATGTGAAGTGATCAAATAAAATACTCACAATGTTATGTATGTGCATTATTTTTGTAATTAGTTATATGTTTTGAATAAATGAATGTGATGTTTCTTGAATGTAGTGACTATAACTATTACAATCAGACCTTTCACTGATCGACACTGAATGTAATGAGTACCTGTATCTTGGACAACGTTTGGAGGGAAAACATCTTTAAGTGGAACAAAATCAATAACACTTTAATATTAATGTCTCATGGAGAAGACCATAATAAATAGTTTTTATATTTTTATATCCAGAAAAATAAATATTAGCAATTTAATATTTATCCTATAGGATCAGACATTAATATTACTACATTAACAGACTACATTTGAAGCCTGATGACTTTGTAAGTCAACATTATTAAATTATTTATTTAGACTTTTTTGTTTATTTAATATTTCTTTGTTAGTGAAGACAACTAATAAAATTTTTAGATTTCTCATAATATATTTTATATTTATGTTTCTTGGCCAGTTTTCTTTCAACCTTTTTTGAAAAATAATGAAAGTGAATTTTTACGATGCTCTCACACCGACAGCGACATCGTGAAGTTAGTTTTAGGTGGATGAAAATCGATACTCTTTTGTTCAAGTGGTATCTAGTATTTTTATATTAAAACGTGTATGACATGTGTATCGTAACAGTACAAGTAAACAGTGTGAATAAATAAATATTATTTTGGTGTTTTTATCAAATCCATGTCGCATACGACGGTAGTAGCACTTACTTATAATCTATGTGCATATATATATTCAATATCAGTGATAAAACTGTTTTGAGTGCATTTATAGATTTGAGGTTACTTGTCGATATGTGTACAATTTATTTACATCGTTAATTAAAAATTAATATAAACTTTATTTGAGAGACTTTTGAGACAATGATTAATTTTTTTATGAAGATTTAAATATATTGATTAATAATGACTTTTCAGTTTCAACAACACGGCATGGCACCACTATTGATGGGTCTATTTACATCATACCTATCTTTAGTTTTAACTAGACTAGTTATATCATATATTAGCTACCACAAACCCTCCCTCCCTTTTCTTGGAGGAAAGTATAAGAGTAAGGCAGCTCCAAAGACTTTTTCTGGACTTCTAGCTCATAGAACCCAACGCGATGATCCTTCAGGTTATAATATTAACAAAGCAGCTCGTGTACTAACCACAGTAATTTGGAAATATGTTTGACTTTGATAGTTTTCAATTATTTTTGATCAGGTACATTACGTCATACTTTACTCATAAATAAGATATTCAAAATGTAGTCGATAGTCGTAATTTTAACTTTTACCTTAAAATTTTTAAAGTTATATTTTGAGGATGTCTTCTACCATATCAATTTAATAAATTCGTTTTCAACTCTTTGAGATGCAAAGTTATCTGTGCGTACAATCAAGACTATGTTTTTTTTAACATGTTTTATTTGTTTCTTGGTTTTTTGTCCTTCCAAAAGCTAATCTAAATAAGACATTGAAATGTCCGCAATATTAGAATTCCTAAATGTAACTACATAACACAAAAATATACATGTATAATGTATATCTAATTTTAAGACTACGGACAATCGATAAAAAGAATTATAAAATATATCCAATAAAAAATAAATCAGTCCAAAAACGAGTTCGAAATTGATGTGAAATGAACAAAACCTATTGAAATAAAATAAATTTTCGATAAACATACATGGCACCCTGAAAATAAAATACTAAAGACATTTAAAAAAAGGATTTTCTTTCTAAAAATGAGAAAAATTAATTCCAGGAAATAAAAGTACTCAATGTATGTCAAGGAGTTGTGCTACAATAATTCTATTACTACATAATTATTACATTACAATGCTTTGTTCCTACTTTCCTGAACTATAAAATCATAAATAAAGGAAATGATACAGTTTTAATGCTTTAAATGACTAAGTGTCCCAAAAAACAAAGTATTTGTATTATATGCATTATTTCTCAATTATTAAAAACTAACTAATTTTCTTGTAAAGTAACATGTGAAAACGTTAAAGTTAAATTTTGATAAATAATTAAATTGTTTATAGGAGAATTTCTATGGAATATCACTCGGAGACCAGTCTTTGATTACTATAAAATTAGTCAAATTAATGTTTTACATTCAGGAAAAATAAACTGGGAAATATATTGTGTACTAAAGGAAATAATTTATTTTATTGAAACTTTGCATTTTTCTATAATGTTCTGAAATGTTTTGTCTACTAAAATAGGCAATACACTTATAAAAGAACAGAAGTTAACCACAGACAGTAGGATTCGGAACACAGTCTTTATTCAGTAATTCGATTCACTGTAAAATCATAATTTACATCATTTTCTATAAAAATATTTATCTCAATCCGAGTGAGATGTTAAACCTTCAACTATAAGAATGGCCTTGTGTTAGGTTTTGTCTCTTGAAATCGGGGTAAATATCAACGACACACATTCCATACAACAACCATTTGTCTGTAATTATTGATTATAAACAAATATAAATTATTTCAGATTTTCACTTGGCAAGCCATGGGTTACTTCTACGGATACACACTTGAAGATTGAACTATGGCTTGAAGATGTCTTGAACTTGAACTATAATCTATGGAGACGCTATGCGGAGTGTGGTTATATTATTAGAGCCTAAACTAAAACTAAAACCTCAGATGATCGCAGCAACGAGGGTGTAGGGAACAAATAAGGCACGAATAAATCAACTAACTTTAGTTGGAATATAAGAGATAGACGCCGTCAAAAACTGACCTTGAATTATGGAAATCGGACGGACACAAGAAACAAGCAAATAATTTTATATGTAATTTATTAAACTTTCGTAGAATATCTTCTCGTTGTTTTAAGAACTTTTGAGCAAGTAGCTAGACTGTTAGTAAGTTGTACAAACATTGATTCTGTAGAGTAGAAACGTTTGATACACAAAAACGGATTTGCTTTTCCATTTGACAACAACTTTTTTCATGGCATCTGGCCCATATATTTTCAAATTAATTTAAAGGAATGTTTAAACATTATGCAAAACATATGAGTATAAGTATTTCATTGCGCAAGTGTCTACTGTAAAAAAGCATAAATTGTTTACCTAAAGTATCCTTAATCCTTATAAAACTGGAACTGAATCTTATACGTAGTAAATAAATTAGAGAAAAGGAGTAAAGAAAACCAATTATAAATTTTGATCTATTTAAAAAAAATATTGTTCTATATAACAGCTGTTGTAATTCCATCATAAGTTATCAATAAGCAGTTCACTCCCCTCTTCATTCTAAAATAACCTTTTTCCCCCCAATTATGACTCCAAGAATTCTTGACGATCCAGTAATCAACGCCGTTTTCTGAAAACACGTAACAGATTAAATAGTTAACAAATATTAGTGATAGCATGAAAAACAAAAACTTCTTTAAGCTCAATGTATTCATTTGACAAAAATATTATTTTACAATATTTATACACATTATACTTTACCTTTTCCGTATCCTACCAAAAGAACTGCGTGATCTATATCGATGCTGCTATGACACTCTTCAATAAGAATCCCACTTATATACGATGCAAGTGATGATGATGTTATATCTGGAGTTTGAAATATATTTTATAATTAAACAAACCAAATTTTCATCTTATGTTAATATTCAGTTTGTATTATACCTATACTTAACGGTCCGATATTGTAGAGATGTTCCTTAATTTGGTCTTCTGATAGTTGCATTATATTTTTGAAGTCCGTTAATCTGATTACAACTTCACCGCTATCATAACGGCAATTCTCGTTTTTAGCAACGTAAGGATAAGACTTTAAAGACATTGCACCATGATCGAGGAAATATCTGGAAAGTGGTTATGTTCAATCATAATGGAAATAGCATCAAACTAAAAAAATAATTTATTTTAAACTACCTCAGTGCACTCCATGTCGCCCCTCCTGAACATCCTAAATCAAGTTTATCACAATCCACTAGTTGTTGTTCAGACACGTCGATGAGCTTACCAGTCTTTATAGCATTTATACTTTCAACATTAGCTGGAATATGAGACAAAAATATTTCTCAAAGTAAATTGATATTTAAGTTAACAGTGAATATCCTTACCAGACGCACTAAATGCCCAACATGAACCACAATGCCTTTGATTCTTTACGCTAGTGACGACTCCTTTCTTTCGCCAGTCAAATTGATCCGGTGCAGTAACATTAAATGATTCTGGCAAATCGGTACTTTTATGATCCTCATTCGATGGAATCTCCTCTCGTTTCAGACCAGTATAGTATTTTAGGAATTCTTCTTTGCTCAGATCCGAAAACTTATTGATACCTGTTATATAGTGTAAGAAAATAAATGAAAAGTCTTAACAGAAATCATTTCTTCATATACAGAAATCAACTGACCGTAAACAGCATTGGAACTCCTCTCGTTCATAGCGTTAATGTCCTTTAAATTGTTCACAAATATTTTAAACCTTTCTTCCTTCTCGTTCTCATCATACTCTTTATTGTAATCTTTTATAAACTGTTCGAAAAGTGTTGGAGCCTCCTCCAGAGAGTATAGTTGCTTTTGACCTAACTCCCTTGAATATACATTATATTGTAATGTAAGTGATAACAGAATTGCACAAATGACGAACATTGTCATTTTAAGTATAGCTAATACTTCAAATGACCAGTGTGTCGCTATTTATACCCCACTTTTACAGCACTTTATTAGCAATAATTTTTTCTTGGTATGTGGAGCCATAAAATAAGTATTTACAATGTTAAATATCGTTGTTTTAATTAGTAAAATGTTTTGAATATATATGATATTTCCTTAATGAAGCGACTATTATTATTAAAATCCAACCTTTTACTGATAGACGGTGAATAAAATTAGTAATTGTCATGGACAACGTAGGAGCTAAAACATCTTTAAGGGGCACAACATTTATAACTGTCTTATATTTTGATTTCTTGAAGAAGTTAAAAAAATATATATCTCTTTGTGTTTATTTATCCTTAAAAGTAATGTAATTTTATTCCCGTATGTTGCAAATGTCCATGGGAGACAGTGGTTGTCTTCTGTCTTGTAGGCCGTCTGCTGACTAGCTGCTTTTGATATATACCCATTGATATATAAATATAAACATACATATGTATGTATATATGTTACGCTCAAAGACTAAAAATAATAAAAATATTCTAGTTTGAGTTCTTAAAGTTGATAGTGGACGTGCAGCGCCGAGGAATGATATGTGTTTGAAACAACGAAAGTACATTCGATAGACTTTATGGACCTAAGATTTTTATACTTTCTGAAACAACTGTATCAACATTTGTGCCCTAAACTTCCTTGTTAAACTTTTTTTTTCTATTTCTATTACTGTCAACTTTTAATATTTATTATAATTACGTGAAAGATATTTAGTTATCATATAGAAAAATCTTAGTTAATTTTAGTAAATTGCAAACAATTTACTAATGATTATTGTTTTGTGTTTAGTAAATTATTATTTTATACGTTGATATTTTAAATACAAAGTAATCTCATTAAAAACGTTTAACACTTTTTCCTTGTTTTATATAACAGCTGTTGTTATTCCGCAATCAGTCAGCAATAAGCAGTTCACTCCTCTCTTCATTCTAAAATAACCCTTTTCCCCCCAATTCGGACCCCAAGAATTCTTGACAATCCAGTAATCAACGCCGTTTTCTGTCAACAAGTAACAATAGTAAATCAACAAATATTATTGGATCCTAGAGACGAAATTAACTTGTTTTAATTATATAGATTTATTTGACACTAATAATATTTTACAACATTTGTATTATACTTTACCTTTTCCGTATCCTACTAAAAGAACTGCGTGATTGACTCGAATAACATCATTACACCCTTCAATAAGAATTCCACCTGCGTACCCTTGAATTGGCCATCCATCTATACCTGGAGTTTGAAATATATTTTATAATTAAACAAACCAAATTTTCATCTTATGTTAATATTCAGTTTGTATTATACCTATACTCAATGGTCCGATATTGTAAAGATGCTCCTTAATTTGGTCTTCCGACAGTTTTGTAATGTGTTTATAGTCCTTTAACCTGATTACAACTTCACTGCTGTCATAACGGCAATTCTCGCTTGTAGCAACGTAAGGATAAGACTTTAAAGACATTGCACCGCTTTCACGGAAGTACCTGAAAAGCGATTTTGTTCAATAATAATAGAACTATCATAAAAATTATTTGTATAAGAGTACCTCATGGCATTCCAAGGGTATCCTCCTCCGCATCCGTTATCTTGTTTATCACAATCCACTAGTTGTTGCTCAGACACGTCAATGAGCTTACCAGTCTTTATAGCATTTATACTTTCAACATTAGCTTGAATATGAGACAAAAATATTTCTCAAAGTAAATTAATATTTCATTTAGCTACCGTTTGAAAGTGCTCAAAAACAATGAATATAAAATCCTCACCAGATGCACTAAATGCCCAGCACGAACCACAATGTCTTTGATTCTTTACGCTGGTTACGACTCCTTTCTTTCGCCAGTCAAATTGATCCGGTGCAGTAACATTAAATGATTGTGGCAAATCAGTACTTTTATGATCCTCATTTGTTGGACACCCGTCTCCTTTCAGACCAGTATAAAATTTTACGAATTCCTCTTTGTCCAGATCCGAAAACTTATTGATACCTATTATATAGCATAAGAACATAAATAACAATTCTTAACAGGAATCATTTCTTCATATACAGAAATCAACTGACCGTAAACAGCATTGGAACTCCTCTCGTTCATAGCGTTAATGTCCTTTAAATTGTTCACAAATATTTTAAACCTTTCTTCCTTCTCGTTCTCATCATACTCTTTATTGTAATCTTTTATAAACTGTTCGAAAAGTGTTGGAGCCTCCTCCAGAGAGTACAGTTGCTTTTGACCTAACTCCCTTGAATATACATTATATTGTAATGTAAGTGATAACAGAATTGCACAAATGACGTACATGTTGATTTTGAGTTGCTCTACTTGTAATGACCAGCGTGCCGCTATTTATACTGCATCCATATAGGACTTCTATAAATTTTCTTCAAGCAATAATTTTTCGTCGGTATGTGGATTTATAAAATAAAATATTGCTAATGTTATGAAAGTGTAATACGTAATTAATTATTATATTATAAATTATTCTTTTTAATTAGTAATATGCGTTCAATATATAAGATGCTCCTTAAATAAAGCGACTAAAATGATTAAAATTAGACCTTTCACTGATCGACACTGAATATAATGAGTACCTGTTCCTTGGAAAGTATATGGAGGGAAAACATCTTTAAGAGGAACAAAATCAATAACTCTGTAACATTAATGTCTCATGGAGAATACCAAATGAAATAGTTTTTATATTTTTACATCCAGAAAAATAAATATTAGCAATTTAATATTTATATTAAAGATACATACTTTAATATACATTCTTTCCATAATATCTTATCTTGATGGAATTTCAAACAGTTTTAAAGAACTAAAAACTTTAGTACTATTTATAAGACTACATTTGAAGACTGATGACTTTGTAAGTCAACATTATAAAATTATTTATTTAGACATTTTTGTTTATTTAATATTTCTTTGTTAATGAAGACAACTTATAAAATTTTTAGATTTCTCATAATATATTTTATATTTATGTTTTCTGGCCAGTTTTCTTACAACCTTTTTTGAAAAATAATGAAAGTGAATTTTTACGATGCTCTCACACCGACAGCAACATCGTGAAGTTAGTTCTAGGTGGATGAAAATCGATACTCCTATGTTCAAGTGATGTTCTAGTATTTTTATATTAAAACGTGTATGACATGTGTTTCCTAAACAGTACAAGTAAGCAGTGTGAAAAAATAAATATTATTTTGGTGTTTTTATCAAATCCATGTCGCATACGACGGTAGTAGTATTTACTTATAATCTATGAGTATATACATATATATTCAATATCAGGGATAAAACTGTTTTGAGTGCATTTATAGATTTGAAGTTACTTGTCGATATGTACAATTTATTTACATCGTTAATTAAAAATTAATATAAACTTTATTTCAGAGACTTTTGAGACAATGATTAATTTTTTTTATGAAGATTTAAATATATTGATTAATAATGACTTTTCAGTTTCAACAACACGGCGTGGCACCACTATTGATGGGTGTATTTACATCATACTTATCTTTAGTTTTAACTAGACTAGTTATATCATATATTAGCTACCACAAACCCTCCCTCCCTTTTCTTGGAGGAAGGTATAAGAGTAAGTCAGCTCCAAAGACTTTTTCTGGACTTCTAGCTCATAGAACCCAACGCGATAATCCTTCAGGTTATAATGTTAACAAAGCAGCTCGTGTACTACAAACCACAGTAATTTGGAAATATGTTTGACTTTGATAGTTTTCAATTATTTTTGATCAGGTACGTATTACGTCATACTTTACTCATAAATAAGATATTCAAAATGTAGTCGATAGTCGTAATTTTAACTTTTACCTTAAAATTTTTAAAGTTATATTTTGAGGATGTCTTCTACCATATCAATTTAATAAATTCGTTTTCAACTCTTTGAGATGCAAAGTTATCTGTGCGTACAATCAAGACTATGTTTTTTTTAACATGTTTTATTTGTTTCTTGGTTTTTTGTCCTTCCAAAAGCTAATCTAAATAAGACATTGAAATGTCCGCAATATTAGAATTCCTAAATGTAACTACACAACACAAAAATATACATGTATAATGTATATCTAATTTTAAGACTACGGACAATCGATAAAAAGAATTATAAAATATATCCAATAAAAAATAAATCAGTCCAAAAACGAGTTCGAAATTGATGTGAAATGAACAAAACCTATTGAAATAAAATAAATTTTCGATAAACATACATGGCACCCTGAAAATAAAATACTAAAGACATTTAAAAAAAGGATTTTCTTTCTAAAAATGAGAAAAATTAATTCCAGGAAATAAAAGTACTCAATGTATGTCAAGGAGTTGTGCTACAATAATTCTATTACTAATTATTACATTACAATGCTTTGTTCCTACTTTCCTGAACTATAAAATCTTAAATAAAGGAAATGATATAGTTTTAATGCTTTAAATGACTAAGAGTCCCAAAAAACAAAGTATTTGTATTATATGCATTATTTCTCAATTATTAAAAACTAACTAATTTTCTTGTAAAGTAACATGTGAAAACGTTAAAGTTAAATTTTGATAAATAATTAAATTGTTTATAGGAGAATTTTTATGGAATATCACTCGGAGACCAGTCTTTGATTAAACTATAAAATTAGTCAAATTAATGTTTTACATTCAGGAAAAATAAACTGGGAAATATATTGTGTACTAAAGGAAATAATTTATTTTATTGAAACTTTGCATTTTTCTATAATGTTCTGAAATGTTTTGTCTACTAAAATAGGCAATACACTTATAAAAGAACAGAAGTTAACCACAGACAGTAGGATTCGGAACACAGTCTTTATTCAGTAATTCGATTCACTGTAAAATCATAATTTACATCATTTTCTATAAAAATATTTATCTCAATCCGAGTGAGATGTTAAACCTTCAACTATAAGAATGGCCTTGTGTTAGGTTTTGTCTCTTGAAATCGGGGTAAATATCAACGACACACATTCCATACAACAACCATTTGTCTGTAATTATTGATTATAAACAAATATAAATTATTTTAGATTTTCACTTGGCAAGCCATGGGTTACTTCTACGGATACACACTTGAAGATTGATATACGGTTTGAAGATGTCTTGAACTTGAACTATAATCTATGGAGACGCTATGCGGAGTGTGGTTATATTATTAGAGCCTAAACTAAAACTAAAACCTCAGATGATCGCAGCAACGAGGGTGTAGGGAACAAATAAGGCACGAATAAATCAACTAACTTTAGTTGGAATATGAGTGATAGACGCCGTCAAAAACTGACCTTGAATTATGAAATTCGAACGGACACAATAAACAAGTTAATAATTTTATATGTAATTTATAAAACTTTCGTAGAATATCTTCTCGTTGTTTTAAGAACTTTTGACCAAGTAGCTAGACTGTTAGTAAGTTGTACAAACATTGATTCTGTAGAGTAGAATCGTTTGATACACAATAACGCATTTGCTTTTCCATTTCACTACAAATTTTTTCATGGCATCTGGCCCATATATTTTCAATTTAATTTAAAGGAATGTTTAAAATTTATGCAAAACATATGAGTATTTCATTGCGCAAGTGTAAAAAAGCATAAATTGTTTACCTAAAGTATCCTTAATCCTTATAAAACTGGAACTGAATCTTATACGTAGTAAATAAATTAGAGAAAAGGAGTAAAGAAAACCAATTTTATATTTTGATCTATTTAAAAAAAATATGTTCTATATAACAGCTGTTGTAATTCCATCATGAGTTATCAATAAGCAGTTCACTCCCCTCTTCATTCTAAAATAACCTTTTTCCCCCCAATTATGACTCCAAGAGTTCTTGACGATCCAGTAATCAACGCCGTTTTCTGAAAACACGTAACAGATTAAATAATTAACAAATATTTGTGTAAGCAAGAAAAAAAAAATTAACTTCTTTAAGCTCAATGTATTCATTTGACAAAAATATTATTTTACAATATTTATATACATTATACTTTACCTTTTCCGTATCCTACCAAAAGAACTGCGTGATCTATCTTGATGCTGCTATGACACTCTTCAATAAGAATTCCACTTGTATACCATGCAAGTGATGATGATGTTATATCTGGAGTTTGAAATATATTTTATAATTAAACAAACCAAATTTCCATTTTATGTTAATATTTAGTTTGTATTATATCTAATACCTATACTCAACGGTCCGATATTGTAGAGATGTTCCTTAATTTGGTCTTCTGATAGTTGCATTATATTTTTGAAGTCCTTTATTCTTATTACAACTTTACTGCTATCATAACGGCAATTCTCGTTTTTAGCAACGTAAGGATAAGACTTCAAAGACATAGCACCATGATCGAGGAAATATCTGGAAAGTGATTATGTTCAATCATAATGGAAATAACATCAAACTAAAAAAATAATTTATTTTAAACTACCTCAGTGCACTCCATGTCGCCCCTCCTGAACATCCTCCATCCTGTTTATCACAATCCACTAGTTGTTGTTCAGACACGTCGATGAGCTTACCAGTCTTTATAGCATTTATACTTTCAACATTAGCTTGAATATTAAATAAAAACATTTTTCAAACTAAATTGATATTTAAGTTAACAGTGAATATTAAAATCCTTACCAGACGCACTAAATGCCCAACATGAACCACAATATCCTTGACTCTTTACGCTAGTGACGACTCCTTTCTTTCGCCAGTCAAATTGATCCGGTGCAGTAAAATTAAATGATTCTGGCAAATCGGTACTTTTATGATCCTCATTCGATGGAATCTCCTCTCGTTTCAGACCAGTATAATATTTTAGGAATTCTTCTTTGCTCAGATCCGAAAACTTATTGATACCTATTATATAGTGTAAGAACATGAATCATGATTGTTAACAGAAATAATTTCTTCATATACAGAAATCAACTCACCATAAACAGCATTGGAACTCCTCTCGTTCATAGCGTTAATGTCCTTTAAATTGTTCACAAATATTTTAAACCTTTCTTCCTTCTCGTTCTCATCATACTCTTTATTGTAATCTTTTATAAACTGTTCGAAAAGTGTTGGAGCCTCCTCCAGAGAGTACAGTTGCTTTTGACCTAACTCCCTTGAATAGACATTATATTGTAATGTAACCAATAACAAAATTGAACAAATGACGAACATTTTCATTTTAAGTATAGCTAATACTTCTAATGACCAGTGTGCCGGTATTTATATCCCACTTTTACAGCACTTTATTAGCAATAATTTTTCTTCGGTATGTGGAGTCATAAAATAAAGTATTTACACTGTTAAATATCATTGTTTTAATTAGTAAAATGTTTTGAATATATATGATATTTCCTGAATGAAGCGACTATTATTATTAAAATCCAACCTTTTACTTATATACAATAAATAAAATTAGTAATTGTCATGGACAACGTAGGAGCTAAAACATCTTTAAGTGGCACAACATTTATAACTGTCTAATATTTTGATTTCTTGAAGAAGTTCAAAAAAAAATATCTCTGTGTTTATTTATCCTTAAAAGTAATGTAATTTTATTCCCTTATGTTGCAAATGTCCATGGGAGACGGTGGTTGTCTTCTGTCTTGTAGGCCGTCTGCTGCCTTGTTGCTTTTGATATATACCCATTGATAAATAAATATAAACATACATATGTATGTATATATGTAACGCTTAAAGACCGAAAATAATAAAAATATTCTAGTTTGAGTTCTTAAAGTTGATAGAGGATGTGCAGCGCCGAGGAATGATATGTGTTTGAAACAACGAAAGTACATTCGATACACTTTATGGACCTAAGATTTTTATACTTTCTGAAACAACTGTATCAACATTTGTGCCCTAAACTTCCTTGTTAAACTTGTTTTTTCTATTTCTATTACTGTTAACTTTTAATATTTATTATAATTACGTGAAAGATATTAAGTTATCATATAGAAAAATCTTAGTTAGTTTTAGTAAATTGTAAAAAATTAACAAATGATTATTGTTTTGTGTTTAGTACATTATTATTTTATACGTTGATATTTTAAATACAAAGTAATCACATTAAAAACGTTTAACACTTTTTCCTTGTTTTATATAACAGCTGTTGTTATTCCGCAATCAGTCAGCAATAAGCAGTTCACTCCTCTCTTCATTCTAAAATAACCCTTTTCCCCCCAATTCGGACCCCAAGAATTCTTGACGATCCAGTAATCAACGCCGTTTTCTGTCAACAAGTAACAATAGTAAATCAACAAATATTATTGGATCCTAGAGACGAAATTAACTTGTTTTAATTATATAGATTTATTTGACACTAATAATATTTTACAACATTTGTATTATACTTTACCTTTTCCGTATCCTACCAAAAGAACTGCGTGATTGACTCGAATAACATCATTACATCCTTCAATAAGAATTCCACCTGCGTACCCTTGAATTGGCCATCCATCTATACCTGGAGTTTGAAATATATTTTATAATTAAACAAACCAAATTTTCATTTTATGTTAATATTTAGTTTGTATTATACCTATACTCAACGGTCCGATATTGTAGAGATGTTCCTTAATTTGATCTTCCGACAGTTTTGTAATGCGTTTATAGTCCTTTAACCTGATTACAACTTCACTGCTGTGATAACGGCAATTCTCGCTTGTAGCAACGTAAGGATAAGACTTTAAAGACATTGCACCGCTTTCACGGAAGTACCTGAAAAGCGATTTTGTTCAATAATAATAGAACTATCATCAAAATAATTAATAAACCATTATTTGTATTAAAATACCTCATGGCATTCCAAGGGTATCCTCCTCTACATCCGTTATCATGTTTATCACAATCCACTAGTTGTTGTTCAGACACGTCGATGAGCTTACCAGTCTTTATAGCATTTATACTTTCAACATTACCTTGAATATGAGACAAAAATATTTCTCAAAGTAAATTAATATTTCATTTAACTACTGTTAAATACTTTTGAAAATGCTCAAAAACAATGAATATACATAAAATCCTTACCAGACGCACTAAATGCCCAGCATGAACCACAATGTCTTTGATTCTTTACACTAGTGACGACTCCTTTCTTTCGCCAGTCAAACTGATCCGGTGCAGTAACATTAAATGATTCTGTCAAATCAGTACTTTTATGAACCTCATTTGTTGGACACCCGTCTCCTTTCAGACCAGTATAAAATTTTACGAATTCCTCTTTGTCCAGATCCGAAAACTTATTGATACCTATTATATAGTGTAAGAACATAAATGACAGCTTTGTTAACTGAAATAATTTCTTCATATACAGAAATCAACTCACCGTAAACAGCATTGGAACTCCTCTCGTTCATAGCGTTAATGTCCTTTAAATTGTTCACAAATATTTTAAACCTTTCTTCCTTCTCGTTCTCATCATACTCTTTATTGTAATCTTTTATAAACTGTTCGAAAAGTGTTGGAGCCTCCTCCAGAGAGTACAGTTGCTTTTGACCTAACTCCCTTGAATAGACATTATATTGTAATGTAACCAATAACAAAATTGAACAAAGGATGTACATGTTGATTTTGAGTTGCTCTACTTGTAATGACCAGTGTGCCGCTATTTATACTGCATCCATATAGGACTTCTATAAATTTTCTTCAAGCAATAATTTTTCGTCGGTATGTGGATTTACAAAATAAAATATTGCTAATGTTATGAAAGTGTATCATCTTGTTAATTAGTAATATGCGTTCAATATATAAGATGCTCCTTAAATAAAGCGACTAAAATGATTAAAATCAGACCTTTCACTGATCGGCACTGAATATAATGAGTACCTGTTCTTTGGAAAATGTATGGAGGGAAAACATCTTTAAGTGGAACAAAATCAATAATTCTGTAACATCAATGTGTCATGGAGAAGTCTCAAAAAAAAAAAGATTTTATATTTTTATATCCAAATACATAAATATTATTTTGTTTAAACATAGGCAATTTAATATTTATATTAAATGTACATAAATTAATATACATTCTTTTCATAATACCTTATCTTGATGAAATTTCAAACAGTTATTTTGAAGTTATAAAAACATTGGTAATATTGATAAGACTACATTTAAAGCCTGATCCGTTTGTAAGTGAACATATAAAACAGTTTATTTAGATAAATTTGTTTACTTATTATTTAGGAAAGTACATAAAAAATATAAGAATGGTACAGCTCCAAACTCGTCTTCTGGATGTCTAGCTCATAGAAACCATAACAACAAAAAAAACCAACATGTCACAAAGACTCGCTAACGTAAAATTATTTTTTATGTGAGTCAGTGGTTACTTGGTTAACAATCTTAACCCTTAACTGGTTTCGTGGGGGTGGCGCGGCCCCCACGCGTCTTATTTTTTTGAATTTCTTTAAAACTATATACCGTATGTTAGAGCCATTTTAAGTAATCTCATTACGTTGCGTCTTGCGGTGAGTGTCGGACTTTCAGCGCTTTATTATTTACCTTAGCAAGTACCTCCACGTTATGGGGGTCGCGCGGCCCCCACTATACCAGTTACGTAAATTTTTAGTTCATATTTTATTTCATTTGTTCGTATGTTTTACAGTTATTTTGTTAAGATGGAGAGACTGTTAAGTGATAAAACGATAGAAGACAAATTGGCCGCGGATTCCAACTCCGAATTAGAGTTAAGTGACTATCCCGAAGAACATTTCAGTGACAACGATGAATTAAGCGATCTGGAGCAGTCACCAACACACGATTCAGAAAGTGGTGAAGACCTTAGTCCCGATATTGAAGATTATTTTTCAGAGAGTGACGATGAACCTACTGCAAGACCGAGTCAAAGGAGTTATTATGGAAAAAACATATGCAAATGGTCTAAAAATCCACCAGCACCTTCACGTACTCAAACTCAAACTCAAACTCAAACAACTTTATTCAATATAGAAGTATTACACTTTCTTATTGATGGTCATATTGAGACTACCACCGGTTCGGAAAAGAAAATACCCTCTAGAAAATACTCGACAACATAATATAATAAAACAAAGACCGTTGATTGGACCAGCAGCGGCTAAATATCAGATGTCTACCAAAGAATCATTTGAGTTGCTCATAGACGATAATATTTTACGAATAATAAAAAAATATACCAACTAAAAAATTGCAGAGAGCTTAGAAAAGAATTCTACAGTCGCATTTTGCATTAACCATGTTTCTGAAACGGAGATGAAATCTTTTATAGGTCTTTTGTTACTACGTGGAGATTTCAAATCTGGATATAAAGATGTCGAATCTTTGTAGCAAACAGCGCAAAAGCACCAAAATACTATGTACTAGTTGTCAAGACTGAACCTAGTTTACTTGTAATGTACCTGAGCCCTTAGTATTATATTTGTGTTGATTTCTTTTGAAAAACGCTAATTAGTGGTTTATTTTTTTATATTTCCAGAGTTAATTGTATAAAGAATAAGAAAAAATGTATATATTAGCCTAAGATTTTGAAAATTATTATTTTTTAAGTTAATATTATGTAAGAAAAATAAAATGCCAAAGATTGTAACGTTTTAGTGATCACTTATGGTTATTAAGTAAAAAGCATTACAATAATAAAAATTGTTTGGTTCAGTTAATGAAGCTTATTACTTATCATTTTTTAATTAAAACTTGAATAAAAATTCGAACATTTATATCTTAAAAGATGTGAAGTTACGTTAGTCATTTTTATGATACCAGTTAAGGGTTAAATAACTGCACAGAATTCCCTGTCTTAACATAAGAAATACCATGCCAGGGAATAAAAATCCTCGGCGTTCCTCAAGGGATTATGATAGAATTATACTACATTTTTTTTTAAATTGTCACAATAAGTTAACGCCTTCTTTCCTCAGCTAAATGAATTACGTTTTACGTCTCTAAATAACTAATTGTTAAAAAACGCAGTACAAGCAGAGACTGCATACATTTGCATTGCTCCCACTTTAGAATCTTAACTTTCAAATATATACTAGTCAATTTTCTTGTAAAGTAATATGTCAAAATAATAACATATGTCTTAAGTTCGAGTTTTTACATTCTTCTGAGAAGTTTTCTGGAATATCATTCGGAGACCAGTTTATAATTAAACTATAAAATTAGTTAAATTAATATTTTATATTCAGGAAAAATAAACTGGGAAATAAATTGCGTACTAAAGAAACCAATTTATTTTATTAAAACTTTGTATTTTTCTGTAATGTTATGACAGAAATGTTTTGTCTACTAAATTAGGGAATACATTTATCTATAAAAGAACTGGTTTCAATCACAGACATTAGATTTCAGAAAATCTTACAACATCTACTAATACGTTGAACAGTAGACTCGAGTACTGTAGAAGGGATAAAAAGTTTTCTCACTCTGATTTGTTAAACCTTGAACTAGAAGAGTGTCTATTTGTAATAGTGCTCAATATTTGAACATTTATTGGACCCGCACGGGGAATTCATGGAATGCTGAAAGATTTCGTCTCTAGAAATGAGGGTAAATGTCCACGACAAACATTCTATCTAAATGTATTTGTCAGTAATTATTGAATTTAAATAAATATAAATTTATTAATTTTCACTTGTCAAGCAAGTCAGTGGTGGCCTAGTGGTTAAAGGGTCCGCCTCCCGTTGCCGAGGGCGCGGGTTCAAACCTGGCAAGTACCAATGTGATTTCGGATTCATATGTAATTTTTGAGAGTATTTAGACACCACTGACATACGGTGAAGGGCAACAGCGTGAGGAAACCTGGACTTATAGTTTCACAATTATAAGTTTGAAATCACCAACCCGTCTTGAGCAAGCGTGGTGATTAATGCTCAAACCTTCTCCATGTGAGAAAGAAGCCTTTGCTCAGCAGTGGGCTCTGATAGGCTGATGATGACTTTGCAAGCTATGTAAACTTTACTTCTACACATACACACTTGAAGAATACTCTTCACCTCTCCTTTTGGTTATGTTCCAAGAAGTTTTAGTAAAGAAGATGTTTAATTCAAGCGAAATGAACTACATATGGCTTGAACGTTACTTAAAACTTGAACTTTATGAAGACCCTGCAGAGTGTGGTCATAATCCGCGATGCATAAAATAAATAAGTAAACAATTTCATTCACAAAATATTCCTTGATTATCTTCTCGTTGCTTATAGACCTTTTGACCAAGTAACTAAACGGTTAGTAAGTTGCAAGTAATTATGTATGATTACAAATACTGATTCTGTAGAATAGAAAAGTTTGACTTACAATAATGGGTTTTGCTTTTACATTTGACTACAGTTTTTTACATAGCATCTGGCCTATATATTTGTTCAAATAGAATCAGTGAATTTACACATTGAATGAAATATGTGAGTGTTAGTATTACATGGCACAAGTGTCTACTGGAAGTAGGAAAAAAATACTTTTAAAAGTAAACCAAACTAAAGTACTCTCATAAATCTGGATCTGAATCTTGTTCTAAGTGAATAAGGTACGGAAAAGAAATAAAGAAAAGACTAATTTAATAAGTTGATCTATTTCAGATTCCGAATTTACCTGATGTTAGTGGAATAATAAAAATAACACGCAATAATTTATTTTAAACATTCAAAATTTTTTTCTTGTTCTATATAATAGCTGTTGTAATTCCGCAATCAGTCAGCAATAAGCAGTTCACTCCTCTCTTCATTCTAAAATAACCATTTTCCCCCCAATTACGACCCCAAGAATTCTTGACGATCCAGTAATCAACGCCGTTTTCTATAAACACGTAACAAAAGTAAATCAACAAATAATATTGGATCCTAGAGACGAAATTATCTTGTTGTAATTTAATAAATTTATTTGACACTAATATTATTTTACAACATTTATATTATACTTCACCTTTTCCGTATCCTACCAAAAGAACTGCGTGATTGATTAGATCACTGCTATGACAGTCTTTACTAACAATTCCACCTGTATACCACGAAATTGGTAATGAAGTTATACCTGGAGTTTTAAATATATTTCATTATTAAACAAAACAAATGATCATTGTATATTAATGTATAGTTTGCGTTACCTATACTCAATGGTCCGATATTATAAAGATGGTCCTTAATTTGGTCTTCCGTTAATTGTGTAACATGTTTATAGTCCTTAATTCTTATTGCAACTTTACTGCTATCATAATGGCAATTCTCGTTATGAGCAACGTAAGGATAAGACTTCAATGACATTGCACCGTTTCGTCGGAAATAACTGGAAAGTGTTTATGTTCAATCAGAATGGAAACAACATCAACCTAAAACATTATTTACATTAACACTACCTCATAGCATTCCAAGGGTACCCTCCTCCGCATCCGTTATCTTGTTTATCACAATCCACTAGTTGTTGCTCAGACACGTCGATGAGCTTACCAGTCTTTATAGCATTTATACTTTCAACATTAGCTTGAATATTAAATAAAAATATTTCTCAAACTAAATTGATATTTAAGTTAACAGTATTAAAAATGCAAAATTTTAATGAATACTACAATACATACCAGATGCACTAAATGCCCAGCATGAACCACAAAGTCTTTGATTCTTTACACTAGTGACGACTCCTTTCTTTCGCCAATCGAATTGATCCGGTGCAGTAACATTAAATGATTCCGGCAAATCAGTACTTTTATGATCCTCACCCATTGGACACTCATCTCCTTTCAGACCAGTATAAAACTTTACGAATTCCTCTTTGCTCAGATCCGAAAACTTATTGATACCTATTATATAGTGTAAGAACATAAATGAGAATACTTAACAGGAATCATTTCTTCATATACAGAAATCAACTCACCGTAAACAGCATTGGAACTCCTCTCGTTCATAGCGTTAATGTCCTTTAAATTGTTCACAAATATTTTAAACCTTTCTTCCTTCTCGTTCTCATCATACTCTTTATTATAATCTTTTATAAACTGTTCGAAAAGTGTTGGAGCCTCCTCCAGAGAGTACAGTTGCTTTTGACCTAACTCTCTAGAATATACATTATATTGTAATGTAAGTGATAACAGAATTGCACAAATGACGAACATTTTCATTTTGAGTTGCCATACTTCTAATTACCAGTGTGCCGGTATTTATACCCCACTTTTATAGCATTTTATTAGCAATAATTTTTCTTCGGTATGTGGAGTCATAAAATAAAGTATTCACAATGTTAAATATCATTGTTCTAATTGTTAAAATGTTTTGAAAATATATGATATTTCCTAAATGAAGCGTCTATTATTATTATTAAAATACGACCTTTTACTGATAGACAGTAAATAAAATCAGTAATTGTCATGGACAACATAGGAACTAAAATATCTTTAAGTGGCACAAAATTTATAACTGTCTAATATTTTGATCTCTTGAAGAAGTTCAAAAAAATAATTTCTATTTGTATTTGTTCATCCTTAAATATAATTTTATTACCTTATGCAGTTGCAGTTGCAGATGTTATGGGAGACGGTGGTTGTCTTCTGTCTGGTAGGCCGACTGCTGCCTTGCTGATATATACCCATTGATATATAAATATAAACATACATATGTGTGTATGTATGTTACGTTCAAAGACTGAAAATAATAAAAATATTCTAGTTCGAGTTCTTAAAGTTGATAGTGGATGTGCAGCGCCGAGGAATGATGTTTTTGAAACAACGAAAGTACATTCGATAGACTTTATGGACCTTAGATTTTTACACTTTCTGAAACAACTGTATCAACATTTGTGCCCTAAACTTCCTTGTTAAACTTTATATTACTACTAGCTTTCCGCCCGCAGCTTCGCCGCGTGGAGTTCGGTTATATCGCGTTTCCAAGAGAACCTTTCAAAAGTCTGGGATAAAAACTATCCTATGTTCTTTCTCAAGGTCAACTCTATCTCTGTACCGAATTTCATTAAAATCAGTTCAGTGGTTTAGGCGTGAAAGCGTAGCAGACAGACAGACAGACAGACAGACAGAGTTACTTTCGCATTTATAATATTATTAGTAGGGATTTCTATTACTATCAACTTTTAATATTTATTATAATTCATGTTTATTACCTGAAAGATATTTAGTTATCATATAAAAAAATCTTAGATATTTTGAGTGAATTGTACACAATTAAGAAATGATTTTTGTTTTGTGTTCAGTAAATTATTACTTTATACGTTGACTTTTAAATACAAAAAAAGTCATTTAAAACAAATATAGATTCATTTAAATTTATATACAAAATCTATGTTTTTAAATGAATTGCTGATCGTTAGTCTCACTTAAAGTCGAAAATGGTTGAACGGATTTATCTTATCTTAGTCTTGAAATGTTTGTGGAGGTTCAAGGTAGGTTTAAAAGCTGAAAAATATAGATTCATTTCCGGGAAAAACACTAAAAACAGGCCTTTTCTATTTCCCATACAAACGTTTTTTTACATTAGATTTGACAACTAACTAACTAATATGTCAATCATTCTGTTCGATTGAAACTGGAAAAATTTAATAAATACCAATACCTGATTATTTAAGACGGAATAGTGTTCGCCCGATCAGCTACACATATTTTACTAATGACGAAATTAACGCTTACGAAGACACGGGCAAAAACTAGTATATAATATATTTAATAATGACAAACACGTTATGCAGTCATATTATACAACGAGAGGGGGGCGAAAAGGAAAAGGTCGAGAAAAGGTGAGGAAAGGGAAAGGGCACCGGCTCTCTCACTCATCAGATTAAAAGTAGTCATTAAAGACTACTTCGCGCTGTCTTCCCTGGTCCAGACAGCCCATATTCGAGCTGAAGTAATTTGAACACAGCCAGGCTTTACCACCTCAAAATAGGTAAGTAATTGTGTGTGATAGCACATATTGATTTTGTAGAATAGAAATGTTTGACTTACAATAAAGAATTTGTATTTTTGCATTTCACTACAACTTTTTGCTTACCATCTGGCCCATATATTTCTCAAAATTAAATAAGAGATTTTACACATTAAGTAAAACATTGAGTACTAGCATTACATGGAGAAAGTGTCTACTATAATTTATATTTAAAAAATATTCATCAAATGTACCCTCATAAAACTGGGACTAAATCTAAAACTAAGTGAATAAGGTAAGGAAAATTAATAAAGAAAACACTAATTTTATAAGTTGATCTATTTTTGATTCCGAATTGATCTGATGTTAGTGGAATAAAAAATATAACACGCAATTATTTATTTTAAACATTTAACAATTTTTTTTTGTTCTATATAACAGCTGTCAAAATTCCGCTGGCAGCCAGCAATAAGCAGTTCACTCCCCTCTTCATTCTACAATAACCTTTTTCCCCCCAATCCTGACCCCAATAATTCTTGACGATCCAATATTCAACGCCGTTTTCTGAAAACAAGTAACAATATTAAATCAACAAATATTATTGGATCCTAGAGACGAAATTAATTTGTTTTAATTTAGTAGATTTATTCGACAAGACTAATATTTTACAACATTGGCATTACATATATTTTACCTTTTCCGTATCCTACCAAAAGAACACCGTGATTGATCACAAAACTGTTATGACATTCTTCGATAACAATTCCACCTGTATACGATGAAAGTGGTGCTCCTGTTATACCTGAGTTTTAAATATATTTAATTATTAAACAAAACAAATGATCATTGCATATTAATGTATAGTTTGCGTTACCTATACTCAATGGCCCGATATTATAAAGATGTTCCTTAATTTGGTCTTCCGTTAATTGTGTAACATGTTTATAGTCCTTTATTCTTATTGCAACTTTACTGCTATTATAAAGACAACTTCCTTCTTTAGCGACGTAAGGATAAGACTTCAATGACATTGCACCGTATCGTTTGAAATATCTGGAAAGTGATTATGTTGAATCAGAATGTAACTATCATCAAAATAATTAATAAACCATTATTTGAATAAGAATACCTCATGGCATTCCAAGGGTATCCTCCATCACATCCGTAATCCTGTTTATCACAATCCACTAGTTGTTGTTCAGACACGTCGATGAGCTTACCAGTCTTTATAGCATTTATACTTTCAACATTAGCTGGAATATGAGACAAAAATATTTCTCAAAGTAAATTGACATTTAAGTTAACAGCATTAAAAATGCAAAAATTTAATGAATATTAAAATCCTTACCAGACGCACTAAATGCCCAATTTGACCCACAATGTCCTTGATCCTTTACGCTGGTTACGACTCCTTTCTTTCGCCAGTCAAATTGATCCGGTGCAGTAACATTAAATGATTCTGGCAAATCAGTACTTTTATGATCCTCATTCGATGGAATCTCCTCTCGTTTCAGACCAGTATAGTATTTTAGGAATTCTTCTTTGCTCAGATCCGAAAACTTATTGATACCTATTATATAGTGTAAGAACATAAATGAGAATTCTTAACAGGAATAATTTCTTCATATACAGAAATCAACTCACCGTAAACAGCATTGGAACTCCTCTCGTTCATAGCGTTAATGTCCTTTAAATTGTTCACAAATATTTTAAACCTTTCTTCCTTCTCGTTCTCATCATACTCTTTATTGTAATCTTTTATACCAGGGTGGTCTGAAAAGTTTCCGACCTGAACGTGAAGATGGCAACACACATCAATTAAAGTCAGGGAATGTAATTGTGCATCTTTTGACAGCAACACTTCAAAGTTTCAGCCATTTATGACGCGCGGTTTTTATTTGACAGTCATTTGAGTGAGTCGATGTGAGTATTTTTGTGATAATGGAAAAAATCGAGTATCGAGCTGTTATAAAATATTTGTTTTTGAAAGGGAATACCCCTACGCAAATCAAAGATGAGTTAGATTCTGTGTACGGGGACTCTTCACCGTCATTTACCACAGTAAAATTTTGGGCAGCCGAATTTAAACGTGGCCGTAGGAGCTTGGGAGATGATGAACGGTCAGGACGTCCAAAAACTGTAACTACTGACGATAACATCGCTAAAGTTCACCAAATGGTGTTAGACGACCGCCGAATTAAAGTGAGAGAGATAGCAGAGGCAATGAAAATGTCCAAAGAACGTGTTTGTCACATATTAAATCAAGATTTAAGCATGAGAAAGCTGTCCGCGCGTTGGGTGCCGCGTTTGCTAACGTCAGACCAACGTCGTGTTCGAATGAACATTTCCAATGCTCTGTTGGCGCAGTTTAGGCGCAATAAATCCGAGTTTTGGCGCCGACTAATTACTGTAGATGAAACTTGGATACACCACTATACGCCTGAAACAAAAATACAGTCAAAACAGTGGACTGCAAAGGGAGAACCAGCTCCAAAAAAAGCAAAACATGTTTTTTTCGGCTGGGAAAGTGATGGCGACTGTTTTTTGGGATAGCCATGGAGTTATCCTAATCGATTATCTTCAAAAAGGGAAAACCATTACAGGAGCATACTACGCATCGTTACTTGACAAGCTGAAGGCAGAAATTGCGGATAAACGGCCGCATTTGCAGAAAAAGAAAATTCTGTTTCACCAAGACAACGCCCCGTCTCACACCTCAACGGTTGCCATGGCGAAAATCCATGAATTACGGTTTGAGCTGCTTGACCATCCACCTTACTCACCAGATCTAGCCCCAAGCGACTTCTTTCTGTTCCCTCACCTAAAAACTGCGCTCGGAGGACAAAGATTTTCGTCAAATGAGGAGGTAATCACCTTCGTGAACGATTATTTTGCAGAGAAGAATGCTGAGTACTATTTGGACGGGTTAAAGAGATGGGAGCATCGCTGGGAGAAGTGTGTAGAGTTACAAGGAGACTATGTAGAAAAATAAAAATACATTTTAAGAAAAAAAATCTTGTATCTATGTTAGGTCGGAAACTTTTCAGACCACCCTCGTAAACTGTTCGAAAAGTGTTGGAGCCTCCTCCAGAGAGTACAGTTGCTTTTGACCTAACTCCCTTGAATATACATTATATTGTAATGTAAGTGATAAGAGAATTGCACAAATGACGAACATTTTGATTTTGAGTTGCCATACTTCTAATGACCAGTGTGCCGGTATTTATACCCCACTTTTACAGAATTTTGTTAGCAATAATATTTCTTCGACATGTGGATTGATAAAATAAAATATTCACAATGTTATGTATGTGAATTATTTTTGTAATTAATAATATGTTTTCAATAAATGAATGTGATGTTTCTTGAATGTAGTGACTATAACTATTACAATCAGACCTTTCACTGATCGATACTGAATGTAATGAGTACCTGTATCTTGGACAACGTGTATGGAGGGAAAACATCTTTAAGAGGAACAAAATTTATAACTGTGTAATAATTTGGTATCTTGAGAGAGCGAAGGAAAAAATTTCTTTATTATATTTTTATATCAAAAAACTAAATTTATTTCGTTTAAACATTTATATTTTACTAGCTTTCCGCCCGCAGCTTCGCCCGCGTGGAGTTCGGTTATATCGCGTTTCCAAGAGAACGTTTCAAAAGTCTGGGATAAAAACTATCCTATGTTCTTTCTCAAGGTCAACTCTATCTCAGTACCAAATTTCATTAAAATCAGTTCAGTGGTTTAGGCGTGAAAGAGTAACAGACAGACAGACAGACAGACAGACAGACAGACAGACAGAGTTACTTTCGCATTTATAATATTAGTAGGGATAATTATTCATTTATTTTTTTTTTTTTGCATAATGTCTGTCTTGATTGTATTTTAAATAGTTTTGACGTTATAAGGACATTGGTTATATTGTTAAATACTACAATTGAAGCCTGATCTTGATGCCTGATTGCTTATTGAGATATTTTTGTTTATTTATTATTTCTCTGTAAAAGGATTTCACTTCTACAGAGTATTTAGATACCACTGACAGACGCTGAAGGAAAACATAGTAAGGAAACCTGGACTTATAATTTCAAATTATATGTTTAAATGTGTGATTACTGCTCTAACCTTTTCCATATGAGAAGAGGCCTTTGCTCGGCCGTGGAATCTGATAGGCTGATGATAATCATAATGATGATAAAGATTTTTTTGTGTAGTACAAGCTATAGTACAATATATTAATTTATATCACCCTCATTTTATAAGGAAGCAAGTACGACATAGAAAATATAAGGATGAGTCAGCTTCAAACTCGTCTTCTGGATGTCTAGCTCATATGTAGAAACAACGACAACAAAAAAACCTTACATGTCCCAAAGACTAGCTAACGTAAAATCATTTGTTATGTGAGTCAGTGGTTACTTAATTAAAAACCTTACATGATTGCAAAGAATTCCCTGTCTTAACATGAGAAATACCATGCCAGGGAATAAAAGTCCTCGGCGTTCCTCAAGGGATTATGATAGAATTATACTATTTATTAAATTGTCACAACAGCTTTACTCCTACTTTCCTCAACTTAATGAATGGAAACAGTTTTACTTCTCTAAATAACTAATTGTTAAAAAACGCAGTACAAGCAGAGACTGCATACATTGGCATTGCTCCTACTTTAGAATCTTAACTTTCAAATATATACTAATCAATTTTCTTGTAAAGTATTATGTCAAAATAATAACATATGTCTTAAATTCAAGTTTTTACATTCTTCTGAGAAGTTCCCTGGAATATCACTCGGAGACCAGTGTATGATTAAACTATAAAATAAGTTAAATTCATGTTTTATATTCAGGAAAAATAAACGGGGAAATGAATTGTGTACGAAAATAATTTATTTTATTAAAACTGTATTTTTCAATAATGTTATGACAGCAATGTTTTGTCTACAAAAAAGGGAACACACTTATAAAAGAACAGGTATAATCACAGACAGTAGGTTTCGGCAAATAGTCTTTATTCAGTAGGTTATTAGATTCACTATATAATCATAACTAACAACATCTACTATAAACGTAGAATAGCAGACTCGAGTACTTTAGAAGGGATACAAGGACTATTTTATATGTATAAAACAAGTTATCTCACTGGAAGATGTTACATCTTGAACTAGAAGAGTGTATATTTGTATGAGTCTTTAATGTTGGAAGAATTATTATTCTAAAATAGGGGTAAATAAACACACATTCAACTTAATATAAATTTGTCTCTAATGATTGAATACAAAGAAATATAAATTATTATTAATTTTAACTTGGCAAGCTAAACGTAGTTCTACGGAAAAACGATTGAAGAATACACTTGTTCCTGGGGTGCTCTGCTTTTGATTATGCTCCAAGAAGTTTTAGTAAGAAGTAGTACTTTAATTCAAACGTAAGGAAAATGACTTTAAACTTCAACTATAATATATATAGACGCTATGCGGCGTGTTGTTATATTATTAAAGCCTAAACTGAAACCAACTCAAAAATTCTCACTTACTACTGATTCGAGTAATTATTGTTGAGGATGTAGGAAACAATAAAGGTGGGAATAAATTAATTTACTTAAAATGAAACTAATATTTTCGGATTTACTACGCGTTTTTTATTTTTGACTATAAACTAAGTCACAACAAAAATAACAATACCGACTGACAGACACTCACATATCGTTTGCCCGTGATCACGGTTGATGAAAAGTAGCCGAAACTTTTATAGTCAAAAATAAAAAACTCGTATAGTCAAAAATAAAAATAGCTAGACTGTTAGTAAGTTGTATAAACATTGATTCTGTAGAGTAGAAACGTTTGATACACAATAACGGATTTGCTTTTCCATTTGACTACAACTTTTTACATGGCACTGGCCCATATATTTTCAAATTAATTTAAAGGAATGTTTAATAAGGAATGTTTAAACATTATGCAAAACATATGAGTTTAAGTATTTCATTGCGCAAGTGTATACTGTAAAAAAGCATAAATTGTTTACCTAAAGTATCCTGAATCCTTATAAAACTGGAACTGAATCTTATACGTAGTAAATAAATTAGAGAAAAGGAGTAAAGAAAACCAATTTTATATTTTGATCTATTTAAAAAAAATATTGTTCTATATAACAGCTGTTGTAATTCCATCATGAGTTATCAATAAGCAGTTCACTCCTCTCTTCATTCTAAAATAGCCTTTTTCCCCCCAATTCTGACCCCAAGAATTCTTGACGATCCAGTATTCAACGCCGTTTTCTGAAAATACGTAACAGTTTAAATAATTAACAAATATTTGTGTAAGCAAGAAAAAAAATTAACTTCTTTAAGTTCAATGTATTCTTTTGACAAAACTAATATTTTACAACATTTATATTAACTTTACCTTTTCCGTATCCTACCAAAAGAACTGCGTGATTGACCTCAAAGCTGTTATGACACTCTTCGATAACAATTCCACCTGTATAAGATAAAATTGGTGCTGCTGCTATACCTGAAGTTTTAAATATATTTAATTATTAAACAAAACAAATGATCATTGTATATTAATGTATAGTTTGCGTTACCTATACTCAATGGCCCGATATTATAAAGATGTTCCTTAATTTGGTCTTCCGTTAATTGTGTAACATGTTTATAGTCCTTTAATCTGATTACAACTTTCCTGCTATCATAATGGCAACTTGCTTCTTTAGCGACGTAAGGATAAGACTTCAATGACATTGCACCGTATTGGCGGAAATAACTGGAAAGTGATTATGTTCAATCGGAATGCAACTAATATCAAATAAAACATTATTTACATTGAAATTGGTGGTGGTAGAGATAAGTTGTGGTCAAATTACTGCAGCTTGAACTGGATAGCTCGACCCCGGTAGTACCACTCTCTCACAGAAGATCGGCGTGAGGTAAATGGCTGCCTTTCGTCCGACGAGTGAGAGAGCCGGTTGCCCTTTCCCTTCCTCCACCCTTTCCTTTTTCCCATTCCTCCCTCTTCCTTTTCTCCAATTAAGGATGGCAATGTATCCGCAAAATACTTTTGCCAATGTCTATCAGCGACGGTACCACCTCCGTCAGATAAGTCATCTGCTCGATTACCTTCCTATATTAAAAAATAAACATACCTCATGGCAACCCACTGTAACCCTCCTGAACATCCCCCATCATAGCCGGTATCACAATCCACTAGTTGTTGTTCAGACACGTCGATGAGCTTACCAGTCTTTATAGCATTTATACTTTCAACATTAGCTGGAATATATGACAAAAATATTTCTCAAAGTAAATTGATATTTAAGTTAACAATATTAAAAATGCATAAATTCAATTAACATTAAAATCCTTACCAGACGCACTAAATGCCCAGCATGAACCACAATGTCGTTGATTCTTTACACTAGTAACGACTCCTTTCTTTCGCCAGTCAAATTGATCCGGTGCAGTAACATTAAATGATTCTGGCAAATCAGTACTTTTATGATCCTCATTCGATGGAATCTCCTCTCGTTTCAGACCAGTATAATATTTTATGAATTCCTCTTTGCTCAGATCCGAAAACTTATTGATACCTATAATAAAGGAGTATTCTAAACGTTACAAAGTCTGACATATTGAAAAACTGCGTTATTCGAAGCAAAAAAAAAGCTGCAGATGTAACTATCAAAGTCAAAAGACTCAAGTGGAGATGGGCTGGACACGTGATGCGAGGACACGACAAATAGAGCAAAAGAGTGTCACGGTAGTACCCCAGAGAAGGCAAAAGGAAGAGAGGGTGACCGCAGAAAAGGTGGGATGACGATATCAGACAAGTGGCAGGAGTAATGTGGAACAGAGTGGCTCAAGAAAGAACAGAATGGAAAAGTTGGAGGCCTTTGGCGACTGGCAAACAGATCTAGCGATGATAACCAAGGAACAGATATTAGTTTAAGTAGCTTATTAAGTTTAAGATATTATGTTTATTTTTAAGATAGTTTACTGTAAACACTTATTTGTTAGATTTGAATAAAAGGCTATAATAAAATAATAATAAAATAAATATAGTGTAAGAACATAAATGACAGAAATCAACTCACCATAAACAGCATTGGAACTCCTCTCGTTCATAGCGTTAATGTCCTTTAAATTGTTCACAAATATTTTAAACCTTTCTTCCTTCTCGTTCTCATCATACTCTTTATTGTAATCTTTTATAAACTGTTCGAAAAGTGTTGGAGCCTCCTCCAGAGAGTACAGTTGCTTTTGACCTAACTCCCTTGAATATACATTATATTGTAATGTAAGTGATAACAGAATTGCACAAATGACGAACATTTTGATTTTGTGTTGCCATACTTCTAATGACCAGTTTTCCTCTATTTATACTCCACTTCGACAGTAATTTATTAGCAATTATTATTATTCGGTATGTTAAGTGATAAAATAAAATGGTTTACAATGTTATGTATGTGAATTATTTTTGTAATTAATAATATGTTTTGAATATATGTGATGTTTATTGAATGCAGCAAATACATATAACTATTACAATCAGACCTTTCACTGATCGATACTGAATGTAATGAGTACCTGTATCTTGGACGTTTGGAGGGAAAACATCTTATTTTGAACAAAATTTATAACTGTGTAATAATTTGGTATCTTGAGAGAGCGAAGGAAAAAATTTCTTTATTATATTTTTATATCAAAAAACTAAATTCATTTCGTTTAAACATTAATATTTTATAATTATTCATTTATTTAATATTTTTGCATAATATCTGTCTTGATTGTATTTCAAATAGTTTTAACGTTATAAGAACATTAGTTATGCTGTTAAATACTACAAATGAAGCCTTATCCAGTGCCTGATTGTTTATTAAGATATTTTTGTTTATTATTTCTCTGTAAAAGTATTTCACTTTCTTTGAGTATTTAGATACCACTGACAGACGCTGAAGGAAAACATAGTGAGGAAACCTGCACTTATAATTTCAAATTATACGTTTTAATGTGTGATTACTGCTCTAACCTTCTCCATATGAGAAGAGGCCTTTGCTCAGCCGTGGGATCTGATAGGCTGATGATGATCATAATGATGATAAAGATTTTTTTGTGTAGTACAAGCTATAGTACAATATATTCCTTTATATCACCCTCATTTTATAAGGAGGAAAGTACGCCATAGACAATATAAGGATGAGTCAGCTCCGAACTCGTCTTCTGGATGTCTAGCTCATAGAAACAACAACAACAAAAACACCCAACATGTCCCAAAGACTCGCTAACGTTAAATCATTTGTTATGTGAGTCAGTGGTTAGGTAACATGAGAAATACCATGCCAGGGAATAAAAGTCCTCGGCGTTCCTCAAGGGATTATGATAGAATTATACTATTTATTAAATTGTCACAACAGCTTTACTCCTACTTTCCCCAACTTAATGAATGGAAACAGTTTTACTTCTCTAAATAACTAATTGTTAAAAAACGCAGTACAAGCAGAGACTGCATACATTGGCATTGCTCCTACTTTAGAATCTTAACTTTCAAATATATACTAATCAATTTTCTTGTAAAGTATTATGTCAAAATAATAACATATGTCTTAAATTCGAGTTTTTACATTCTTCTGAGAAGTTCCCTGGAATATCACTCGGAGACCAGTGTATGATTAAACTATAAAATAAGTTAAATTAATATTTTATATTCAGGAAAAATAAACTGGGAAATAAATTGTGTACTAAAGAAAATCATTTATTTTAATAAAACTTTGTATTTTTCTATAATGTTATGACAGCAATGTTTTGTCCCCTAAAAAGGGAACACACTTATAAAAGAACCGGTTTTAATCACAGACAGTAGGTTTTAGAAAATAGTCTTTATTCAGTAATTAGATTCACTATATAATCATAACTAACAACATCTACTACAAATGTAGAACAGCAGACTTGAGTACTTTAGAAGGGATACATGGGCCATTTTATATTAAAAAAGTTATCTCACTGGAAGATGTTACATTTTGAACTAGAAGAGTGTATATTTGTATGAGTCCTTAATGTTGGAAGAATTATTATTCTAAAATAGGGGTAAATAAACACACATTCAACTAAATATAAATTTGTCTCTAATGATTGAATACAAAGAAATATAAATTATTATTAATTTTCACTTGGCAAGCTAAACGTAGTTCTACGGAAAAACGATTGAAGAATACACTTGTTCCTGGGGTGCTCTGCTTTTGATTATGCTCCAAGAAGTTTTAGTAAGAAGTAGTACTTTAATTCAAACGTAAGGAAAATGACTTTAAACTTCAACTATAATATATATAGACGCTATGCGGCGTGTTGTTATATTATTAAAGCCTAAACTGAAACCAACTCAAAAATTCTCGCTTACTACTGCTACGACTAATCACTGTAACGAGGATGTAGGAAACAATAAAGGTACCAATATATCAATTTACTTAAAATGAAACTAATATTTTCGGATTTACTACGCGTTTTTTGTTTTTGACTATAAACTACACGGGCAGACGAGTTGTGAGTGTCTGTCTGTCGGTCTTGTTATTTTTGTTGTGACTGTAAATATTAGTTTCATTTAAATGAGTACTCGCGAAAATCTTAGATCTCATGAACTTACTTTAGTTGAAAAATGAGTGATAAACGCTCTCAAAACTGATCTTGAATTATGGAATCCTCAACGGACAAATGTATATTAAATATATAGTATATAAGTAAATAATTGTATGTATCTATAAATTAACTAAAAATAATTGTACCACTATTGATAATAACCAATTAGATAGAAAGATGGATATTGACATATTTTGTAATAGCCTTGTGAAATTTAAATATAATTTATTAAGTTTTTATTCGTTATACAATTATAATGTAAATTAATGTACATATTATGATGGTCGTGTGTGTTAACTCATTGATTTGTTTTATTTCATTTTATTGCAATTCTACATTTTATTTATTAATGATTTTAAAGTACTAAATTATAAATATTATAAATTTATTTTTTATAATAAACTATGTATTAATTATTATTTTAATGTTAATGTTGATGATTATTATTAGTAATATAATTTTATCTGCATGTTACGTGTCTATATTTCTTGTGATTGTGTGTAACACCTATAATTAAGACAACATTTTGATTTTACTTATTCAATATTGTATTTTTCGCTTTTATTAATGTATGTCTTGTTGGTGTTAATAAATAAATAGAAATTAAAAAAAATAAAAATAAATATTAAATTTATAAAGTATTTGTAAATTATCTTCTCATTATTTTAAGATCTTTTGACCAAGGAGCTAGACCGTTAGTAAGTTGTACATAATGATGTATTTTGTAGAATAGAAGCGTTTAACTTACAAAAATTAAAAGTATCTATTTCAAATATTTATTATATTATATTATATAACAGCTGTTGTATATCCATCCTCTGTTATCAATAAACAATTAACACCTCTCTGCATTCTAAAATAGCCTTTTTCCCCCCAATTCTGACCCCAAGAATTCTTGACGATCCAGTATTCAACGCCGTTTTCTGAAAATACGTAACAGTTTAAATAATTAACAAATATTTGTGTAAGTAAGAAAAAAAATTAACTTCTTTAAGTTCAATGTATTCATTTGACAAAAATATTATTTTACAATATTTATATTATACTTTACCTTTTCCGTATCCTACCAAAAGAACTGCGTGATTGACCTGAAAGCTGCTATGACAATCTTCGATAACAATTCCACCTGTATACGATGAAATTGGTGCTGCTGCTATACCTGGAGTTTTAAATATACATATTTTATAATAAAACAAAACAAATGATCATTGTATATTAATGTATAGTTTGCGTTACCTATACTCAATGGCCCGATATTATAAAGATGTTCCTTAATTTGATCTTCCGTTAATTGTGTAACATGTTTATAGTCCTTTAATCTGATTACAACTTTCCTGCTATCATAATGGCAACTTCCTTCTTTAGCGACGTAAGGATAAGACTTCAATGACATTGCACCGTATTGGCGGAAATAACTGGAAAGTGATAATGTTCAATCAGAATGTAACTAACATGAAATAAAACATTATTTACATTTAAATTGGTGGTGGTAGAGATAAGCTGTGGTCAAATTACTGCAGTTTGAACTGACGTAAATGGCTGCCTTTCGTCCGTTGAGTGAGAGAGCCGGTTGCCCTTTCCCTTCCTCCACCCTTTCCTTTTTTCCATTCCTCCCTCTCCCTCTTCTCCAATTAAGGATGGCAATGCATCCGCAAAATACTTTTGCCAGCGACGGTACCACCTCCGTCAAATAAGTCATCTGCTCGATTAACCCCCTACATTAAAAAATAAACATACCTCATGGCAACCCACGCTAACCCTCCTAAACATCCCAAATCATAGCCGATATCACAATCCACTAGTTGTTGTTCAGACACGTCGATGAGCTTACCAGTCTTTATAGCATTTATACTTTCAACATTAGCTTGAATATGAGACAAAAATATTAAATAAAAACATTTTTAAAACTTAATTGATATTTAAGTTAACAATATTAAAAATGCACAAATTCAATGAACATTAAAATTCTTACCAGACGCACTAAATGCCCAGCATGAACCATAATGTCTTTGATTCTTTACGCTAGTGACGACTCCTTTCTTTCGCCAGTCAAATTGATCCGGTGCAGTAACGTTAAATGATTCTGGCAAATCGGTACTTTTATGATCCTCATTCGATGGAATCTCCTCTCGTTTCAGACCAGTATAGTATTTTATGAATTCTTCTTTGCTCAGATCCGAAAACTTATTGATACCTATAATAAAGGAGTATGCTAAATGTTACAAATTCTAACATATTGAAAAACTGCGTTATTCGAAGCAAAAAAAAAGCTGCAGATGTAACTATCAAAGTCAAAAAACTCAAGTGGAGATGGGCTGGACACGTGATGCGAGGACACGACAAATAGAGCAAAAGAGTGTCACGGTGGTACCCAGAGAAGGCAAAAGGAAGAGAGGCAGACCGCAGAAAAGGTGGGATGACGATATCAGACAAGTGGAAGGAGTAATGCGGAACAGAGTGGCTCAAGAAAGAACAGAATGGAAAAGTTGGAGGCCTTTGGCGACTGGCAAACAGATCTAGCGATGATAACCAAGGAACAGATATTAGTTTAAGTAGCTTATTAAGTTTAAGATATTATGTTTATTTTTAAGATAGTTTACTGTAAACACTTATTTGTAAGATCTGAATAAAAGGCTATAATAAAATAATAATAAAAAAAAATTTAGTGTAAGAACATAAATAACAGTTGTTAATTGAAATAATTTCTTCATATACAGAAATCAACTCACCATAAACAGCATTGGAACTCCTCTCGTTCATAGCGTTAATGTCCTCTAAATTGTTCACAAATATTTTAAACCTTTCTTCCTTCTCGTTCTCATCATACTCTTTATTGTAATCTTTTATAAACTGTTCGAAAAGTGTTGGAGCCTCCTCCAAAGAGTACAGTTGCTTTTGACCTAACTCCCTTGAATATACATTATATTGTAATGTAAGTGATAACAGAATTGTACAAATGACGAACATTTTGATTTTGTATTGCCATACTTCTAATGACCAGTTTTCCGCTATTTATACTCCACTTCGACAGCAGTTTATTAGCAATAATTATTCTTCGGTATGTTTAGTGATAAAATGAAATATGTACAATGTTATGTATGTGTATTATTTTTGTAATTTGTTATATGTATGTTTTGAATATATGTGATGCAATAAAATAAAGGTGATTGTAAAGATTTAAAATCCTGTCTTTCACTGATCGAAACTGTTTTTTTCTTATATTAAAAATTAAAATGAAGTAACTTCGATTTTTCGAAATAAATTTGAACAGACTTATCTGTATTATTTTTTACTTAAATATCCCAACAGTAGAAAGATTTGGAGACTTTCATTACAATAGTGAAGAAAGATACCATGTTTATAAAACCGTACTCAAAGCGTATTTATATCTAAAATATTAAACTTATTTTTAAAATAGCGCCATGAATTTCGTATGATAATAATTTATTTATTTTTAAATTACCTGTACTTAATGAGTCAGTGGTGGCCTAGTGCTTAAAGGGCCCGCTTCTCGTTGTCGAGGGCGCGGGTTCGATCCTGGCAAGTACCCATGTGATTTTTCCGAGTCATATGTATTTTCTAAGAGTATTTACCACTGACAGACGGTGAAGAAAAACATCATGAGGAAACCTGGAAATTATAAATTTGAAATTACCAACCCGTCTTGAGCAAGCGTGGTGATTAATGCTTAAAACCCATGAGAGAATTTCTCCATGATAGAAAGAGACCTTAGCTGAGCAGTAGGCTCTGATAGACTAAAAAAAAAATGATCCGACATTGGTAAAATGTTTCTGATAATAATTAACTAGAAAGTAATCTCGAAAAATCATACTACATCATTTAAATCAGATGATTACATAATTATTTTGTTCATTTAACATATTCAGTAATTTTCCTTTAATGTTAACAACATGCAAATTCATAAATTCATAAATGTTAACAACATGCAAATTCATAAATATATTCTAAGAACTAAGCATAGAAAAATACTTAATTCCTTACAACAATTCTTATATGATAAAATAACAAAATCAACCTCGTTTATGACCATTCCTTTCATATTTTTAACGAACATTCTGTTTTTCATTATTTGCATAAAATCTTATCAATTTTTTTATATAAAACAATTTAAATATACTTAGAAAATGTCGTGAAGGACACGTTTTACCTTCATAATCAATTAATTATTAGTTGCTTAGTAATAAAAAAACATCATCATCAGTCAGATAGATAGTTCCTTCACCAATTTTTAGCACAACGCCCTGTCTTGCAAGTAACTTCTGAATCTACCGGATACTACTTCACTGAGCAGATCTTCCTATAATGTGGAGTTGTCTATATAAATTTTTAATCTTTAACTGTTTAGGTATATTTTTCTTAATTTTTTCCAAATAAACTCTTTTTTTGTGTCAAGTTGTTAATCTAGATTTGTGCTACTTTCTGTTATCAATTTTTTTATGTTCATATAACATTATCATTAGTAATGTAGACAAAAATTAACGACAAAGAACGGAATTTGAAGCTGTCACTTGAGAAATATCGAACCTATGTCACTTTATAGAGTAGGAATTTTTTTGCTGTTGACTGTATTAGCAATCTAATTTAATTTATCATTATACTTGTTGTCAAACTTATTTGATATTTTTTTTATGGTTTCTCTAATATGTAGTCCTACATCAGGTTCGTAAACCAAGCATTCAATAGAAGACTTGTCGTCAATTTATTATTTATAACTGCATCCTCTTGGGGGAGAAAAGACATGCATTTTTAGTGATGTAAAATTTCATAAGGTTTATAAATCCCCAAGCGCAGACTCAAATAGGTGTGAAATTATCACAATCTACAATTTTTGGAACTCTTTTGGCCTAGACCGAAAAGTGGTATTACTCCATAAGAAAACAGTCTTCTGGCTTAACCACGAAGATCCCATAGAAAACGGTCGTTAATGTGCATCAAAAACAGAGTTGCAGAGTGGGGAGACCTATCGGAACTCCTGAATTGTCTGCCATTGATTCAAAAGCAGACTTAACAACTGCTAAAAAGTGCTGCTGACTCTAAAAAAGTCTGTATTCCATGTAATTAGACTAATATGCACACTCTAAAGCTTATCAATACGCCTGTGGTGGCAGAAGAAAAAGATTTCCAGATGTCGACTTAAATTGCGAGAGCTTGTAAGTTCTAGAGCACCTCAAAATGAGTGGTGTATATAAAAGATCACCAGTTGACTAATTTCAACGAAAATCATATTGTCTCTCATTAGAAGATTTTTTTCCTATACTCTTTTTTGTCCTACTCTAATTTTACAAAGTATCGAGACAACTATAATCTGACCATAATAATAATTAAGAGATTGTGCGTGGCTTTATTTCTCGTAAAAGGAATTCATAAAAAATATTATAATAACAGCACTATCCAGTTCTAAATGTTACTTTGTAATATAATTATTGGATTTTTCAAAAATGTTTTTGTACTCAGTAATTTTATGTATGTCCAATTTTTGATGATATAAAGAGAATCAATTTGAAATCATTTTGGAAGACAAAGAATTATTTTAATTTTTCAGTATACAAATATTTTAATACTTGGCATTTTCAATTAAACTATTAACATTAACTAAAATATTACATATTTACTTTGAAATGAAATACAATAAATGAGTTTAACATTATGATCTTTATTTTTTTTTATATTATTTATACTAATTTAAAAGTTCTTAATATTATTCTACATTATTCCTGATATGACTCCGTAATTCTGTATCATAAGACAGTTAACACCTCGCTGTATTCTGAAGTAGCCGCTTTCACCCCAGTTACTGCCCCAAGAATTCTTGACGAGCCAGAAGTCAACGCCACCCTCTAAAAAACAAATTAAATCAGATTCCCTTCAACTTCTTCATAAACTAAGACTATTATTTCAACTTCTTTATAAACTAGGACTATTATATTAAAAGCTTTGAAATAAAATATTGCTATTGAAGGAAGCTAGATTAGAACAACACTGCTTAAAGATTTCATTATATAAAGAGTGACATCCAACTTATATTTGCATATTCGAAAAAATACTTTGGTATCATGACAATAAGCAGTTTTAAGGAGAAAAGTTAATTAGTTTCCAAAAGTTAAATGTTTCTTCTTTTATTAATATTATTTCTCATAACACACTTACCATTTCCGTAGCCAACTAAGAGAACGGCGTGATCAAGTTGTTGACCTTGCGCGCAATTATCGACAAGGATACCACTAATGTAGGTATCCAGAGCTTTTGAGGCAATAACTGAAATTGATAATAAAATTATTATTATAATCGATATTAAAGTTATTCTTTCTTAGTATTAAATATATATACCTATACTCAATGGTCCGGTATTGTAAAGTTTGTCCACCATTTGATCCTCTGCGATATTTACGTGTTCAAAACTGCTTAACTTAACCACGACTTGACTGCTATCATATTTACAGGTACCGGCAACTGCAGCGTAAGGGTAAGATTCTTCAGACATAGCACCGTTTGACACCAAGTATCTAAGAGATATTAATACATCTTCAGCACCGAAAATATTTATTGTTTTTTAGCGTTTCAATTTCTTACTGTTGTGCTCTTTCTGGATATCCATATTTACACGCGTTAGAATCGGTATCACAGTCCACTAATTGCTGCTCCGATAATTCAACAAGATTCCCATTCTTAATTGCGTTGATACTCTCCACGTTACCTTGAATTTAAGAGAAATTTATGATCTCTGAAATTTAGGCACAAACTAATAAATGACAATTATGTTTTATTTGATACCTATATCGCATATGAAACGATATTATTTGTGGATTAAAGAGCAATGCTATACAAATTATACAAACACTTAATGAGATCTAGAATTTTCGCGAGTACTCATTTAAATAAATAATCACGGACAGACGGGATGTGAGTGTGATCACGGTTGCTGAAAAGTAACCGAAACGTCGGGAGTATGTAGTTTAAAGTCAAAAATAAAAACGCGAATAAATCCGAACATATTAGTTTCATTTATATCAACACTTACCGGTTGTACTGAATGCCCAGCACGAGCCACAATGTTTTTGGATCTTCACTCTGGTGACGACTCCTTTGTCACGCCAATCAAAAGCAGCCGGGGCGGTTACGTTAAATGATAATCGCACTTTGTTTTTTTGAAAATCTCCATTTAAAACGCTTGGGTCCGGTTTGAAACCAGTATAAAATTTTTGAAATTCTTCTTCACTTAAATCCGAGAACTTGGTAATACCTGAAACATATTGAGTTTTATGATTAAACTAGATTATCAAGCGAAAATAATTTTAAAGAACTATAACTTACCGTGAACAGCGTTGGTACTCTTGCGGTTTAGATCATTTATTCTCTTTAAGTTGTCTACGAATATCTTGAATCTCTGTTCCTTTTCTTTGGAGTCATACTTTTTATTATATTCTCTGATGAAGTCTTCAAAGAGTATTGGAGCCTCGTCCATTGCATAGAATACTGGTTGTTTCCGTACTTTCTCCACATGGCTCACATCGTTCTGCGGTGCAGCCGCTGTGAAGGAGATGACACAGAGTATGAAGAAGATCATGTTGACTTGTCTTACTGACGATGGTTCACTAATACATCCCTATTTATACTGCGGTCAGAATGCGCTTACACTTTTATCAACATTAAGATATTCCAATAAGCTGGAGATTGTGAATTATTTACATATATTCTTTTATCGCAATTATTTTAAAATGCAACAGACAAAAGTAACCATAACAACTATTCAATTATTAAAATCTAGACAAATTGTCTGTCTATTTGTTTCTCCTAAGTTTATGTATATTACAAAATAAATCACTAATATTTGTTTATGTCTGTCTGTTTGTCAAATACTTGTTATACTAAATGGCAATAGAGTAAAACATTATTAATGGTCTAGACTCGATTTCTGATAGTTTCTTGAAGTTGTTCGTCTTGCGTATTAAGATATAGGTATATGGAGTCCTAACATTTTATAAGAATGTACATCATAAACTTAAATTTTATAGAGATTCGATTTCGATGTAAGCAAAATGTTTCTGCAGTTTCAAAAAATGATTACTAATCAATAATTTCTTGTCAAGTAAGGTATGAAACTGCCTTCAAAGTATTCAACTTACGTATATATATAGCAAACTTGATTTCATTATCATTTACGTTTTATTGCATTTTCATATTAATAAAATTAAACACTATAAAGAAATCTTCGACATAAAAATATATTTACACTTTTGGTTCGGCATACAATATTTTTTAGTTTATTTTATTTTAAACTTTTTCGACTATTCTTTCTTATACTTTAGTAATGCACATAAGTTTCAAGATCTATTATAATTAGCTAATTCACATGTGCACAATGGTTGTAGATAATTTTATGAAAATTATCTTCTATGATATAATGTTATTTTACGTTAAAACCATAATCAATATAAGTTAAAATGATGAAGAATTATAAATACGTTATTTTAAGAATTAAGGGTGGTTCTTCATTTGTAATTCTTATTTAAAAATGTATTCATATTAAATTATATATTCTTATTTAAATATATATATATATTCTTATTTAAAAATGTATGTCAAAATCTTGAAATCTACGTTACAAAATCATTTGGTACAGTGAAAACAAATAAACAATTAACGCGAACCATAAAAGTAAAATTAACGGCAAACATATCTTGAAAAAATAAAGGGTCTTTGTAATTGACTATTTTGAAAAACTTGTGAATAATACTAAATAATAGGAGTACCTATTTCATGATTCCAATTTTAGTTTCATATTTTTTGTAATATTTAATTTTAATTCATAAAAAATATCTTATGTATGTATATAATTGTGTACAAAAAAATTGAATGGCTTTTTTAATAGATTCTTCTGATACGTATTATGAAATGTTATTCAATAATATAAAAAAGTAATTGGAACCGATATACCATTTGATGGAATGGTCATTTCTTTGATCACACTCAACCAACAAGAAATGTGTATTTTTTTTCTATCAATTGTAAAATACTAGTTATTGTGTCCGTAAATATGTAATGTATGACAAGATGGATATTTTTTATTCTTATTACATTAATACCCAGAGTAGTTTTGATGATTTTTTTCGACGTTAAATCTGACCTCTTCAAAACCTCGCTGTTTCTAACGAGGTATTTCTTGAATTCTTGAAATGATTAGATTAAACCACATATCAATAATTGCGATAAAAGAATATATGTAAATAATTCACAATCTCCAGCTTATTGGAATATCTTAACGTTGATAAAAGTGTAAGCGCATTCTGACCGCAGTATAAATAGGGATGTGATCAGTGAACCATCGTCAGTAAGACAAGTCAACATGATCTTCTTCATACTCTGTGTCATCTCCTTCACAGCGGCTGCACCGCAGGACGATGTGAGCCACGTGGAGAAAGTACGGAAACAACCAGTATTCTATTCAATGGACGAGGCTCCAATACTCTTTGAAGACTTCATCAAAGAATATAATAAAAAGTATGACTCCAAAGAAAAGGAACAGAGATTCAAGATATTCGTAGACAACTTAAAGAGAATAAATAATCTAAACCGCAAGAGTACCAACGCTGTTCACGGTAAGATGTGATTTTTGTATAGATTTTTGTCTAAGAAGACTTTTAAATTAGGCTCAAGGACATATATATAAAGTCTGTTTAAATAATAGGTTAACCAACTGGCAGCCACATGACTTCATATCTATGCGATAGAACTGTACTTAATAACAACACAGGAAAAAAAAAGTCTTCCTCATATCACATTGTGATGTTAAAGACACAATGATCTGAAGTTTCAAGAGAATCCGTTAAATATTTCTTGAGTGAAAGAGTAACAATCATCACTCTATACTTAGATCCCATACATTCACATATCTATATGAATACATCGTAAAAAAAGTTTCCTAAGTAAAACTGTAAGTTAAGAATTCTTTATTATATCTTAAAACTACTTTTGTTTCAGGTATAAACAAGTTCACAGATCTGAGCAAGGAGGAATTCCAAAAGTATTATCTCGGTTTCAAGCCGGACAAAAGCTTTTTGGATGACATTAATAAAAAACCGATTGAATTATCATTTAATATCACCGCACCGGCCGCGTTTGATTGGCGAGATAGAGGCGTCGTCAGTAGAGTGAAGGACCAAGGACAATGCGGTTCATGCTGGGCGTTTAGTACGATCGGTAATTTTAGAGATAATTCTCTATTTACCTTAATTAATAAGTGATATATTAAGAAAACTAATCATATTCATTTATTATTTTTGACTTTAAGGTAACGTGGAAAGTGTGAACGCAATTAAACACGGCAACCTCGTGGAGTTATCGGAACAACAATTAGTAGACTGTGATAGCGACAATCAGGGATGTCAAGGCGGTTATCCAGAGAAAGCTCTACAGTAATAGATGGAACCTTTACAAATTAACCAAAATTATTAGTAGGTACAACTGTAATATATGAATTTTAATACTTTCCAGATACCTTGTATCAAACGGTGCTATCTCTGAACAATCTTACCCATACGTTGGAATGGCCCAAAGCTGTCAATACAACAGCGGTAGTGTTGTTGTTAGGTTAAGTAATGTGGAAAAAGTTAATCTGCCCGAGCAACAAATCGTCGATATGCTTTATAGCACCGCACCGTTGAGTATAAGTATGAATTATATATGCAAGGAATGAATATAATTTGTATGAATTATATTTTTGCAAGTATGGATAATAATTATTGTTTAATTTCCTAATGTAGTTATTGCTGCACAAGCATTAAGTTCATATTCCGGTGGTATCATCGTCAATGAATGTGCAGTAAGTCAACAACTGGATCACGCTGTGCTTTTGGTAGGCTACGGAAACGGTGAGTGTTTAAACATAAAATAACAATAAAACTGTTCCTTATTTAATCCTGCATCAATATTATTTGCGTGTATTTTTTTAAATTTCCAATTGTAGTTTTTCCAACATAATGATTATTTTTTAGTTAAAAAAAATTAAAGCTGTCAATATAATGATCAACATTTAAAAGCAAGTTGAAAGGAATCTGATTTAATTTGTTTTTTAGAGGGTGGCGTTGACTTCTGGCTCGTCAAGAATTCTTGGGGCAGCAACTGGGGAGAAGGAGGCTACTTCAGAATACAGCGAGGTGTTAACTGTCTTATGATGCAGAATTCCGGAGTCGTATCAGGAGTCATGTGAAATTTCAAATGGTTCTGTAAATTACATTGAAAAGATAATAAAGATCAGAATGTTAAACTCATTTATTCTATTTAATACCCAAAGAAATGATGAAATTTTATATTTTTTGATATTAAATTGACATTAATTTAAGGCTTCATCACACTTACAATTAACAACTTGTAGATAAAACTTGTTAAAAAATAAAGTTTCTCCATCGTTGTTTTTGAGAACACGCTAATAATAAAAACTAAATTTGATTATAACATATAGGACATTTATTAAAATTATTGAAAAGGTTATAACGAAATTTTATACTATTTTGACCCAAAGAATACTTATATATACGTGGAGAGTGATATAGGTTTTAAAATAGTGGCCGTCACTGAGTAGTTCTCACCTAGGTACTTGTTTTAGTGTTAAATATTATCGTCACTGATATGTAAGTGGTTTTTATGTAAATACATTCAAATTGCTCTATATGTTACTATGCCAAAACCATCAAAAAGACTGTTGAAGTACGGAGATGATCACACCGATGAAATATTATAATAAGTACTAGGAGTATTATATACAAAAATATTTAATTATTAAGAAAGATTCAGATGCATGGCAAATGAATGAGTATGGTCTAAACTTTATGAAAAAAGAAGTTTAAAATTGATTCAATTTATCAGTTTCTTATACTATAGCAAAAATTTTTAAGATTGGCAATGGAACGATTAAGTTTCTCTTTGGTATAAGATAAATAAATGTAATAGAGTATAGATATTTCCATTAAAATTCAATTTCAAAGTCATTCCGTCACAATAAAATAAACCACAATGGCGTCTTCCGCTGTATTTGTTATTTTTCACGATAATTAAGTTTTCTGAGAGTAGATTTCGCTATCCCACGAACATTGCAAAAATATTCCTTGTCTTTTTTAATTATCAATCAAACAGAATAACTTTCAAGCATCTATCAAAAGTTATCTTGCAAAATATATTGTAAAAGCACATTGTCATCCCTTCGTTCATTCATCCGCCCACTATTGTAGGTTATATTCATTTTTTTCTAAACAACAATGAAGTGTCATTGTTCATATTTGTATTTTAATATCGGAATAGATAAATAATGCGTGGCATTTTTGGGCCATTTGTTAAAGGTTCCGTACCGGCTGGGATATTAATGGATCCCATTCATATATCTGACGTAGAATGTGTAAGCATTCGTCTTACGTGTGACACTTTTAAAAGTTTTCGATATTTTTTGACATATTAATTGGAATATATAAAAAATTTATAACAAGAATTATCGCGAGTATTATCTAAGATACATATAAAAATATCATAACTTACAAATTTTTGATGAGTGTATTCGTTGTAGATATTAAATACTTTAAAAATTTGTCATAAAATGTATTATTAAAGTATGCTCGACCTTCGTATATTAAGGCATCATTATGACAGTGTTTATCTCTTGTTTTTATCAACCCCCCACAATAAAGGCGTTCGAGCGTGACCAACTAAAGCAAACGGCTAGCGGCTATATCAAACAAGTTACTAGAATACCAAATGTTACTCCATCCTTATCTATTGTTATAACGTTAGAGAGAGACGTCTTACACATACACAACTGACTCGCCTATTGATAAAACTAGAAAAGAAAGAAAATAATAGAAAAGAAACATGGAACTGGTTTAAAATATTCACTAAACCATTATAAAGGAACTGATGCCGGGAGGCAAAATATTTTTATGTAAATGTATTACTATCGAATGTTTATGTTCGTTTAATATTCCTAAGAAAATTACATATAATATATTCCTTGGTCATGTAATTGAAAAGTATGAAGTTTTGATATAAATTATTATGTCTATTCAGGATAAAAGCAGTGTTAAACAGAAGAAATGTGATGAATTTAGTGAGTAGTAAGTAATTTAACACTCGAGGGCTCGAATACTGTTTCTAATTAGAGGAAATAAAAAAATGACCGATATTTTGCACGAATCAAAACTCTTTGACCGTTCTTTAAAGACAGCGACAGCGGAAAATGGACTCGAGGGTCCTCACACATAAAGGGGCCAGTTTGTTCCAAAAATACTCTGTGCTTGTGCGCGTAGATCAAAAGATTCATGTGGAAAGCCCTCACGCCACTTGCCTCCGCTTTGATATTAAATGTTATTGAATGGCCGGCGATTTCTAATCTTTTTACTGAATTATTATAGATTCGAATTTAGAAATTGCATTCGACTGCGGAAGGGGAAATGTTTGAAATCGTATTACGGAATGAATTACATTAGACATGGCATACTGTGAGTCAAAACATCATTAGGTGAGTAGTAACATGTGCGAGGTCAGAGATGTCGCCACGCCCTATGTTTGTTTAATTTGATTATGTATCAATTAACTTGGAACCGTATGTCCGTCTGTTGGACTCGACTCACTGGCGCTAGCTGGACATTCAATATGTTAAGGAAAGTATAAAGAGGACAGTTTAAAACACGCACATTTACCTTGTTACAAATATTTGATGGTTTTTTACAAAACATAAGGTGACCAGCTATAGAGATGCGGTATATTACGTTGTGGCTTTATGTATTATTTTTTTTGGTATTAAAATTCGTAGCGAGAGGATCCCTTAAAAAACCTATTATAGACATCACATATTTTAAATACCGCAACTGGTGCCTACCCGTCTGGCTGTGTCAGACAGACAGGCACCTACCTGGGCCTTCCTAGTGCCGTCCCTGTCTAACAAACGGCCGCTCTTTGCTGATGAACGGGACGGAGATATTCACCACCTTTTGAATGAAATGTTAAAAAACATAGCGCGCGCACATTTGTTTGTCCTGACCGCCCGCACTGACCCGCGTCATTATGAAGTGTTATTTTCGATGAGGGTGATATTTTAAACAGCCTTTTACTTTTTATTTTCGGGAATATTTCTCGAATATATCGTGAGTCAAACGAGAACAGTATAGAAAAGATCGAGAGATAAAATTGGAGTTATATAAAACTAGTACTATAACGTTTAAAGGAAATTGTGTTTTGATATTTAGGTGGCGTAAATAGTATTTACAAAGCATATATATAACAAACATACAACGGTTGGTACTGTATATGATTTTTATTATCATAATTAGAACAAGACATCTAATTTTGCATTTAATCGAATCTCTTACTTCCACTGAAATAATATTCTATTGGTACTTGACACATCTGTAATGTTTCCGTTTACTAGGTCCACCTGCGCCCGCGCATCGGGCTCCTTTATTGAGGGTTTGATTAAGGTGGAGTGGGTCGGTGGCTTTTTATACCGCTCCCGGAGCTACGTGGGAATGTCTTAGATGACTACACAAGATTTCTATATATATAAACCATATGATACATTTAGATGTCATTAAATATACTACCTCATCCTACGTCTCTTTAGTTTGGGCCTAAATATTTCACCCTTATTGGATGTAGTGTAATACTTAAATACCACTAAAATACCAAAGACATATGTGACCTATTATTTTAGAAATCATCTCTTGTGAAATGGAAGGACATCTCTTGTCGTGAGCAAGAGACATGAGAAGTGATCTGGCCTGTGTTTAGCATTCTTACGTGTTCTCATACACGGAATATTTATTATGATTTATCCCCAAAACTCTTCAATATACGATGATGAATAGTTTAGGTGTATATATTGTGTTGTTATAATAAATCTTTTGTGTCGCCGGGCTCCGGGAGTGACCTAGCGAAACAGACCCCTGTCCTATGATTTATCTAGCTTACGGGAGTCTCAACCGGACTGAACCAGTAACTGTATGGTTAGGGTGTCAACAATTTGACAATTCTTAAAACATACCACTTCGTATAACACAGTATATATACGTTACAATAACCTTTATTTCATATATGAAGCTTGTTTTACGTTACAAAGGACTTTAATAGTCACATAGTTTCACAATATGTGAAGAGATCGTTACTTTAATGAGTACATCAATATTCTCATGTTTTATGGTCACCCTACAACCATTCCCCCTCACCTGCCTAAACACCGTTAATCTACACTGACCGCAGTTCCCATAAAAAGAGATTTAAAAACACGACTCATAAATAATGTTTACTTATTATTTTTTATTATAACATTGTATGAAGCAATTTAATTAGCTACGGTTTGTGTACAAACTGAATGTGTACAATGTCACTTGTCAAAATACATAATAAAATTTAAAGCATTAGTAAATGCTATGTCCGGTCAGGTTTCAAATGAGTACGCTTACAATAAACTTTATATATTTAGGTCAGGAATTTAATATCGAAACTGAAAAGTTAAAACTAAATATTCATATAAATTAAGTAAATTATGATATTTTACCGAAATAAATAGAATATTTTTTCCTAGTAGTAATTATTTCCAATTTACAGTGACATTGAAACTAAAAAACTTTGTTCCCGCCATATGCAAAAGCACGGCGGAATACTTGGTAATAACACCATAAGATTATTTAGGTATTCTCCTAGCTTAAAAATAGTTCTAGTTTTGAACATATGTTTTAAATTGTCCATGAAATTGTATCTATCATCGGTTGTACATAAGTAAGTACATTCTCGCTTACAGAATAGTATAGAGGAATGAATACGAATGGGAAGTCAAAATTATCAATATTTATTAAGATTATGTAGGCTTTATTGCCTTCTATTTTATACAGTATAATTACACGGTGATATATAAACAGTACTAATAATTAAACTGATCGCAGTTTAAAGGCTTAAAGTTTAACTTAACCCAACAGTACCCAGTTTTTAAAAAACTACATATTGGAGTTAATTAAGTTATAAAATTAATATTTTTCGATTTTATTGCAGTATCGATAAACTTCATTATGCATTTTGATATCACAACTGTTAGTCGTTTAGATTTTTATTGATTTCTGGAAATATAATATCAAAGAGGAAAATACACTTACAAATATAGGAACTTGTAAAAATTACTGTAAAAAAAGTCTAATTGGGTGGAAATCAATTAAGGTGATTCCTTTTTTAATT